CACATTTATTTAGACATTTGTAATTGTCATACATCACTAATCATGGCATTATATTTCTTGTAAAATCTCTTATCTTTAACCTTCCTTTCTTTTATATAATTTTTTTATTCAGATTTTAAGATGGTGACATATGGCTATAATGGATAATATTGAAGGGGGAAAATGGTTGTACGTAGCAAACCTACAATAAACTGCTCCTACTGTGTGAATTGTGAACATCAAAAAGAGCCTCTCATCAAATGTTTTTAATATTCATTTTAATTTATAGTCAAAATGAATACATTTATGGATATCACTCTAATGTGGTTGACAGGTATTCCATGTTCCATTCAATTAATCTATTTCTTTAGTGCTGTTACAATGTAAATGGTCTCAAAGCAGCTTAACATAGAAGTTCTAGTAAATTGAAACCGTGTCAATCCATTTTTTAGAGTTGAAGTTCAGTTCATTGTGGCTAAATTTTTACAGCTGAAAGTCCAAGAACTGAAGAGCAAATCCATCGATGCACAGCTCCACAAGTCCCAAACCATTCAAGCCAGTAGCAAGGAACAAACTTCACCAATTGACGAACGCGAAGGAAAAAAAAAAAAACCTTGAGAGAAACCAGGCTCAGTTGGGCACAACCATTTCTCCTCAGGCCAAACTTCTTGTGCAGAGCTGCAGTCTAGGCACCGGAGGCTGAAGAACCCTGAACATCCATCTTGGAGAAGCTGCAGATGGGAGAGGTCTCACTACTAGTGTACAGGTTGGTCCACTGGATGCCATACCCCATCATAAGAATGTACAAAAATTAATAAGCCACTAAGCACAATAGCACAAATTACTACACTAAAGTTTAACCTTGATTTGTATTTTGTAATTTATTTTTATTAATAGCAGCAGTGATACGTTTATTGTAATAAGGGCAATAATCATTTATCAACGTTTAAATATATTATAAATAAGTTAACTCAGACTTTGCTAGTCTTTGTCAAATGTTAACAACGTCAACATGCTGCCCTTTGGTGGACGTCACAACCTAAAATTACACAAATTACAAATATTATATATATATATATATATATATATATATATATATATATATATATATATATATATATATATAAATAATTAAATATAAATTCTGTATGAGAAATTTTTTTATATTACTTAAGACCAATACAAAGCAAGGACTTTTAGAAATTTGGCTAACTGAAAAGTGTGAAGATTATAAAGCATGAACATGCACAGAAGTCAATACTTAATTGGGGGTCCTTTTGCATGCCATATTGCATCCTCTTCCACAATAGTCCATAGGTTTTCTATGGGGTTAAGCTAAGGCGAGTTTGCTGTCCAGTTACAATTTTTCTCAGTATTTGGTGCATTTCTCACAATACTATTTACATTTGCACAAAAGTTAATGCATTTCTCAAAACCATTAGTACAAACAGCAAAACTTAGTTGATAACCTGCAAAAGTGTGTCACTTGCTCAAAATGGATAGCTCATTCCTCAAAAGCAAGTATTCTTGTCATTGAAAGTGTCAGTCATCAAGATGAAAAGTCCTGACACCATTGTTAATGAACAAGATAGTCAAATGGCTTTGTCATGTTTTCTATGAATGATTTACAGACCTATGTATGTTATAGGTTCAGTACCAATATGTATCGCAATATTGTTTACAGTTGTGCACAGCTCTACCCAAAGGACGTTTATGTTTGTTGTAAATAAGGGTGTATTTATTCTTTTGCACAATGCTGTGAATAAATTAGAATTGCAAAGAGAAAATGCAATAAAAATGTGAAACATACATATTCAGTTTGTTGTACTAGGAGACCTCACTAAATGCAGTGATGCCTAACTTTACTGTAGTTTTCAAATAGCTGTACAAATCGTATATAGTGCTGTCTTGAGCATTTTCAGGAACTGTCATCAAAATTTAACTTTATTGCATTGGAAAAAATGTACAGAGTAAACCGTCATAATGAAAGCCATTTGACAATCTTGTTCATAAACAATGGTGTCAGGACTTTTCATCTTGATGACACTTTTAATGACATGAATACTTGCTTTTGAGGAATGAGCTATCCATTTTGAGCAAGTGACACACTTTTGCAGGTTATCAACTAAGTTTTGCAGTTTGTACTAAATGTTTTGAGAAATGCATTAACTGTTGTGCAAATGTAAATAGTGTTGTGAGAAATACACCAAAGCCACTGAGAAAAACTGTAATAATAGGGATACCATGGTCCTGGTAGCTTTGGCACTGTGTGCAGGTGCCTAGTCCTATTAGAAAATGAAATCTGCATCTCCATGAAGTTGGTTAGCAGCAGAGAGCATAAAGTGCTCTAAAACGTCCTGTTATAGACCTGCACTGACATTGGACATCAAAAACATAGTGGAGCTACTCCAGTAGATGACATGGTACCTTAAACCATCACTGACTGTGGAAACTTTACACTGGACCTCAAGCATTGTGAAATGTGTGCCTATCCTCTCTTCCCCCAGACTCTGGGACACTGATTTCTAAAGGAAATGCAAAATTTCTTTAATCATAAAACATCACTGCATTTAGTAAGGTATCCTAGTACAAGACACTGAATATGTATGTTTCACATTTTTACTGCATTTGCTCTTTACAATTCTAATTTATTCACAGCATTGTGCAGAAGAATAAATACACCCTTATTTACAACAAACAAAAAACGTCCTTTGGGTAGAGCTGTGCACAACTGTAAACAATGTTGTAATACATATTGATACTGAACCTACAACATACATAGGTCTGTACTCATCCATGAAATTGTTCAATTTAGAAGATATTTTCAGGAAAAAAAAAAAGATTTTAAATGGTTTCATAAAATTTGCTTGACAGATTTTGACAACCAGTTCAACATTTTTGTATGTTCCTTTCCATTTTGTGAGATTAAATTATTGTAATCCATCTGTGTCTATCTGTGTCTAAGATGATGTAGATTAGAAGGAATGTTGATTAGAACAAAAAGCTGTTTTACAAGTTATGGCCTAAGACACCTTTGTCCTTCAGAAGAACAAAGGACAGATCTCCATTAATCGCCACTCTTACTGATAAGCTTAATCAAAAAGGGCCAGAGTTTCCACAAGTTCCTGATTTTACCGCTGATCACTGCAAAACTAAAACACACAGACACAATTTTTTTTGTTTGTTTATCTCCACATCATAAAGTCACTCAATTTATCCATGTTAAGAATACATTTTGCATTAAAAACCAAAGTATAGTACACACACAACAAACACTGAAAACTGTATGGTGGTTCAGAATAATGTTTTATTTTTATTTGTTTGCATTTTTCTGTAACACATCAAGTTATTGACCAAAAAAAAAAAAAAAAAAAACAATAGCTCTTTTGGGCCCTTGCCTCCCCTTTGTTCTCCACCCTCAATCTATGAAATACATTGTATTGTAAATGTCACAGGGCAGTACACAAATTTCAAACATGGAATAGTGCAGTACTAATAGCTATACATTATCAACCAAGATTGCTTGAATCACATCCCATCTCCTGTATCCCATCCTTTCTTGTCCACTTACTGCAACATTGCCTTCGATATTTATTAAAGACTCAACGTTGCTTTTTTTTTATAATGCTTACACCTGTGTCTAATGCAAGTGTTTATTGCTTTGCAAATTAATGTATGTAATGTTTTGAAAAAGTGTGAAGTTGACAATGTGCTTACAGTTGGGCAAATCTAAATTTTGGAAAACTTAAAAATTTAGTTATTTTGAATTTTTGTGTAAGCAATTGAAAATAATTAAATAAATAACTTATTTTGTGAAGAGCCACCGAGAGACAAGAATTTATCTCTACAACACATGCTTCTTCCATCGCCTGGAGGCCATAAATCTTTCAGTCATGCACTTTCCTCTGCCATGCAGAAAAAAACTCCCCTATCAGGTTTATAAAGGGAGAGTATGCAGGCAGAGAGAGGTTAGAAAACCTTGGGTAGTATAAGACATGGTCAACTAAAGTGGCTGGAATTTATATTAAATAATAATTATTAATTATTTTAAAGTATTAATACTAGTCTATAAATCACTAAATGGCCTAGGACCTCAATACATTACAGATATGCTCACTGAATACAAACCTAACATATCAGAGTTTTAGGATCAAATAAATTGGAAGTTATGGTCCAGTAAAAGCAGGGCGAATCCACCTTAACCTACTTCGCCCCGCGGTGCTGAAATCGGCTTCCAAAAATGATCAGATGTGCTGCAACATTAGGCACGTTCAAATCGAGAGTGAAAGTAAAGCTGTGTCTACTGAATGAGCACTGTGCTATGTCCGACAGATCTATTATGTCTTTCTTTTCTTTTTCGTTGCTTTAAAACCAGTTTTAACACATTTTAATCAGTTTTTAATTATTTCTGTTTATTTTTGTTTTTGTTCTCTTAAAGGCGTTTCTATGAAATTTGAAATATATATAAACTTGTTTTGGCTTGCCTAATTAATAAAATGAGTAAAAATAGTACACAAAGGTCATTTACTGCAAAAATTTAAATACAGCAAAAAGATCATATTGTGTTTTTGTTGTGGGAACCAAGGCAATGTTAATTTCTGGGATGGCCTATAAGTATAACTATCACATTCTGTAAGTGCAAAACTTTTGAATTGAGACATACATATACTGTGAAACACTGTTTTCCACTGTAAAATAATTTTTCTAGTGTATATTTTTCATTCTACATCACTTTGTTTTCATGTTCCCTTTTAGCTAGAAGGTGTTTTCCACTCCATTACTGTTAGAGAGGAGTGATTCTCCAGCTGTTTCACTGTAGCATACATCAGCAGAATCGGCGGAGTATGCATCTGCTCAGATTTGTGTAAAGTTTAACTGACTGTTGCAAAACAAGCAATGTTGAAAGTGCACTTGCAGTGCCTAATTTACCATGAGTGTATTAAAAGCTTTATCTGTAGCTTCTTCCTTAAATAACAAGCTCCGGTTTTGATAGTGCTTTATAAATCACACGTAAAAGCTAATACCATTCTCAGTTTTTATTATTCCACAGCTCATTATAAATCATAACACTGATAGCAGTCTTACTAGCACCATTAAAATATATGGCAAAGTTATCTTTATACAGTGAATTTGTACTTGTAAATCCATTAAAACGTGGAAACTTGTCACAGACATAATTACAAGCCGTGTATCTTGCTGTTTCATCAGATTCTTAATTTCTTTTAGTTTTTTTGCTCAGAGGTATTGTACTGGTGTGCTTGTGGCTGTTGCCATTTGAAGGATGTACAAGGCCATTTTCATCACTGGCGTCCTTGGGACCAAAAGATAAAAGTGCTGAGTTGTTTAATTTTCTGTTTGTGTTAGATAAGTAGATAATAATAAAACCCAAACGTTTACCTTTCTCTTAATGTGTCCAGTCTCCAAGATTGCTGCTTCAGGCCTTTGGAGAACCATCGCCTTTTCCAAGTCTAAGATAAAAAAAAAGTAAAAAAACAAATAGAAATTACTCTGAGGAGTGCTGGAAGTTGCAGACTTATTTGCCAGAAGGACAGTTTTAATCTACCTGTCAGAATTTGATCAATCTTCTCCACTGCGAATTCAGCATCCTCTCTGGAGAAGCACATGGGAGGCTTGAACTTCAGAACGTTGCGGTGTGGACCATCAGCACTGAGCAGAATCCGCTGTTCTTTTAGCCTTTATAAATAATTGTATTAATACTTCGCAATATTTTACAGGTTTTTTAAACAGTATGTCTAATTTGACCACCTTCTCTCCATTTATATAATTATGTGATATATAATTGGATTATTTGGATAAATTATCATATATTGTTATTTAAACAACACAAACAACAGATTATTTACAATATACTATATATTTTATGGTAGGCCAGCTCACAGCACACCAAGAAATGCCAACAGATGCAGACAATCAACTGATGAAGGCATGTTCATTTACCAAATCACGACATGACAAACACCAACAGATACCTATGGTGGGTGAAAGTAGGACGCGATCGTTAACACCTACAGTATGTTGATCCTGGAATATCAGTTCTGTTCGATAATTTATAAACCATATCTAACCCCCTATACCTAACCCTCACTGCATTTTTTTTTTTGTTTTGTTTTGTTTTTGCAAAATAATTAATAGTTGGATAACAAATATGTAGAAACACATAACTTCCACTGTAAGCCTACTTTTAACCTAAACTATAAACTTATCCCTCATATCTAATTGGCTGACTGGATTGTTGCTCCAGGATCAAAATATATAGAACATGAATTGCATTCCAGGATCAACTTATTCCAGGAATATTTCCAGCTTAGTGAAATCACACTAACCTAATACAAAATTTGACAAAACCCAACAAAGTGTCTTTTATTTCCTCTGTTTATGTCTGGCAGTGCAATATGAATTACTCTTTACAAACTTATTCTTACCTGTAAATAACCTCCTGAGCTTCAGCTGTAGCAGGGGTCCTTTTACTCTGATTTCTGACCAGCTCCAACCCAACAAATAGGCCACGTCCCCTTTTAGAATAAAATGTTTGATCTGCAGCTTTAAACCACCTTGCTTTATGTATTTCCAACACAATCTCACGGCAATTCGTAACTTTTTCATTTAGTGGCTAATTCGTATGAATTCGTACGATCTAATTCGTACAATTTAGTACGATTTGCTTATCCCCCAATGACGGTTGGGGTTAGGGGTGGAGTCAGGTGCCACGCCTCCTTTTTAAAATCGTACCATTTCGTACGACTGAACTCGTAAGAATTTGTACGAATTAGCCACTAAACTGGCAAAACGTAAAATACTTACGTTTTTTTTCTTGAGATCAGACATACTTTTTTACAGCACTATTCCAAGCGTACATGTCACAAACAACCCTAGGGAAATTATTTACTTCAAACTAACATAACAAGGCCAGGTCAAACTTTATGCAAACATAGCCAGGTTTTAACTGTGGCACATCACTAATCACAGGAGAGAGTTAACCAACCTCACATCACCGACCAAGGGGTGTCTTTTCTTCAGGTCTTCCAAAAGCTGAGTCAGGTAACCTCCGACATGCAGGGCATTGCCTTGGAGATCTTCCTTCTCAATTACATTAAGCACCGCCAACCCAATAGCACATGATACAGGGTTACCGCCAAACTAGATAGCACAAAGACAGATGTTCTTCTTTTACTTTTTGCTTTTGTTTAATAAATCATTATTCTATGGGGTCTATAGCTAATGCTGGTATATATTTTTTTCTTGTTGCAATTAAATACTGCTTTTATCACATTATACATTATTATTACTGTGACTAAGCTGCAAAAAAAAAAAAAAAGTAATAGTGTATTTAACAAGCTTTTTTAAAATAATACTAATAATTTAATAGTTTAATAGTGTATTACTATATATATATATATGTGTGTGTGTGTGTGTGTGTGTGTGTGTGTGTGTTTAGATTATATAGCCAGCTGATGATAAAGTACAATAGGAACATTATTTACAATAAGAATATTTTTCATATTAGTTTGTGCCTGCCTGCCATTAACAACATGCTGTCCTCACTGTGTTGAAGTACTCCATTCCAGAAGACATGAAGCTTTCAGCAATCTCTCTGCTGGTGATCACGCATGACATTGGATGGCCATTTCCAATAGGTTTGCCCATTGTAACAATATCTGGTACAAAATCTTCTCCCTGTAGCTGAAAGCCCCAGAAGTGAGTCCCCACCCTTCCAAAGCCCACCTGGACCTCATCAGCAATGAAAATGCCTCCAGCGTTTCTCACATGCCTGTGGTACAGTGTCAGAGATATGGTACATTCATGGTACATTCTTAACTAATTATAATATGTCTTTTGATTTAGAAACAACATATTATCAGCACACATGAATGTAAACATTAAACACAATTCAAATACTTATATAAGAAGTATATAATACTTAAATAAGAAGTTATGGCATGAGCATTTTTTCCAACAACAATGCCTTCTGTATATTGTCTTATTAGCTTTTGAGAGAAGCCTGTGTCATTTTCAGTCTTCGGGCTCTATTTTAACAATCTAGGTGCAAAGTGTAAAGCAAATGGCTCAAAAGCATTGAGAGCATGTTTCAATCATTGTTTGTTATTTTAAGGATAGAAAAATTCGATTTGCATCGTGGTGCATGGTCTACGAGGCCTGTGCTTATTCTCTTAATGAGTTATGGGTGTGTTTTGAGCATAACATGCATTAAACCAATCAGTGACTCATCTTCCATTCCCTTTAAGAGTCAGTTGCATTGGCTATGTACATGGCAAACTTTAAGGGCTCTATTTTGATGGTCCATGCGCAAAGCGCAAAACGCAGGGCGCAAATGCTTTCAGGGCGTGTCAGGACACGTTTTTGCTAATTTAAGGACGGGAAATCTGTCTTGCGCTTCGGCGCATGGTCTAAAAGGGTTGAGTTTATTTTCTTAATGAGTTATATGTGTGTTTTAAGAATAAACCAATTAGAGTCTCATCTCCCATTCCCTTTAAGAGTCAGCTGCGTCGAGCCAAGAGCGCATTCGCTATTTACAGGACGCAAAGTAAGTCTAAGTGGAAAAAATGAGCATTTCACAAGCAAACAGTTAACAGTTAACAGCTTTTTAACAGAAAACTGTTAAACAGAGCATCTACTGCGTGAGAATGAGAGATAATGGATCACTTTCACTTTCGCTCTTGGATAGGGAAACCTTTACGCACAGACATCAATTAGTCTATAAATAAATACTTTTGTTTGTTAAGCGCAAATATTCGTTTTAAAACTATTTCTAAATTCAGTTCTAATTTCCAGCAAACGAATAAATTAATAATAATAGCAAAATGTGCTCAAAAACCTGAGTTATATCCTAAAACACATGCTGTGCCCCATATGGTCTAAAACCTGACAGGTGGGCAAATCTAAGCTTGTTTTTAATAAAACAAATATACATATGGATATAATAAATAATACTGCTAATAATAATAACATTATACAAAAGCAAATTGTTATGGATGAACTGAAAAAGCTTCCCGAGATGAAGAAGATATAAAAGCAGTGATTTTTCATATTTATGTAGGCTAGAAAATAATATGTTTTGTAATATTTTAATCCTTTATATTTATATCCTATATCTATTCTTATTATATCCTATATATATCCTTAATATTAAAATTTTTTCAAATGTAAAGATATTTGCCTATTGCTCTCTTGTGCGTATTAAGCAGTGCGTAAGCGAGGCGCAACTCTGCGCCGGAGTTTAGACCGGGTTAGTTTTGGTCTATTGAAAAATCTATTATAGTTTCTCAAAATAGCAACGCGCCAGCGGTCCGCCTCAGAACGCCTTCCTTTTTAGACCAGAACGCCTATGGGCGCAAAAATGAGCGCTAATGCATTTGCTATTTAAACAGCGTAGCGCAACGCCTCAAAATGACTCTTGCGCCAAGCTTAAACTACCAAAAGACTACTGCGTCACGCCTTGCGCCACATTGCGCCGGGTGTATGATAAGGCCCTAAAACTGGAAAAAACTGATTGCTTCACTAGCGAGGAAACAGTTAAACAGACCATCCGCAGCGCGAGGATAAAGAACCAACCTCAACCATTTGTCCTCTTTACTTGACTCCTTTACTTTAGTGGATAAGGAAACGGTGAAGACATCATTGAAGACGCATTCCACTGAAGACATCCATTAGCCTACATATTTAATTTAGTTTGTAAAGCGCAAAGATTTGTTTACCTCTACCTAAACAAATCTAAAAATTATCTAAATTCTACCTAAAAATTACCTCTATTTCTAAATTCAGTTCTAATTTCCAGCAAACTAATAAATGAATAATATTATTGAATTTATATCTAAACACACGTCCTGTTCTTATGGCCTATATGGTCCAAAACTTGACAGGTGGACAAATCTAAATTGTTTTTATTAAAGCAAATATAAATATGCAAATAATAAATAACAGAGAAGAAGAAGAAAATCTTTGAGATGAAGAAGGCATGAAGGCAGTGGTTTTTATATTTATGTAGTAATTAATAATTTTTGTAATAATTTAATGCTTTATTTTTTATTGCAATGTACAGATATTTGTGTATTGCTGTACATACTGTGCGTATTAAGCAATGTGTACAAGTTTAAGGCACACAACTAACGCGCTCTGGCTGGATTCCATCACGCAGTCTATTTTAGTTTCTAAAATAGCAACGCGCCAACAATTTACCTTAACATGCCTCTATTTTATACTGGAACACCCGCAAAGAGTCCACAAAGCGGCACAAATGGATTTGCTATTTAAACAACGTGTCGCAAAACAGGAAAATTAATGGAAATTATTGAGCGAAACAGAAGACCAAAGAAATAGTAATACTAAATAAATAAATAAATAAATAAATAAATAAATAAATAAATAAATAAAAAATGTTTGTTCTTACTGTGCCACTTTTTGGAAGTAACCCATTGGAGGAATGACCTGTCCTCCACAACTTTGTAGTGATTCAGCAATAAAAGCAGCAATCTGCATAAGAAAAGACCACATATTTCCCCTAGTTACTAATATGCGCAAGGTTCCACTGGTGCAGTTTTCCTTTTTAAAATCTACCCATGATGACTGTGATTTAAAAAAAAAAAATTACTTTGTTCTTTGTGTAAAACACTTTGAACCAAATGTTCATAGTTCTGTTCTTCAATTCTTTATGCACCACTTGTATGTTAAAGTAAGTTTTCTTTTTATATATCTTTCTCCCCTCTCAGCTGGGGTATTGTATCATGAAATAATTTATCATTGTGAACAGTAATTTGCAATTTTGAACAATAGTATCTGGATGCAGCCTTATTGATGCCATGGCAGACACAATGCACTCAAATGAAGCTTGTGACTTCACTGTGAGGGGTAGGGTTAGAAATGGGGTTAGGTGAGCTCATTTAAAAGCATAGGATGCAGCCCAGATTGCACTGTACCAGGTTTGCATCCAGACCCCTCTCACTTGAAAAAGAAAGCTTAATAATGGACCAGAGTTTAAAAGTGAAAAATACAGATTTAAATACATTTTATGGGCATTCACTTACCTCATGTCCCTTTTTATGGGCCTCTTCGATTACTTCCTTGACATTTTCAGCATAAGCAGTGGCAGGGTCTGGGTGGTCTTCACGATATTTGCCTCTATAGGTGTCTGGACTAAGAGCCTGAATAATTATCAATCACATATAAAAATAGTTAGTCAAATGTGCAGAAAATAAATCACCTCACACCTCATTTTTCTTTTTAAATTGGTGTCATTTAAGAAACAAATATTTAAAATGTATAGAATTCTTATGCAGAACTGCAAAAATAATGATTGAAAAAAAATTCACAAACACAGACCTCTGTTTGGTAATAAAATTAATAAAACTTAGGTTTAACAGCTCATTTTCTCTGTTTGAATTAATTGGTTATTTGTAGCTAATTCAATAAGTACGATAAACACAGAACAGTTAGAGGAACCTGAGCTCAACCCTTTCCACAGCATGCAGGCTATAAACAAAATACTGTAATGGGTAGTCTTATCACTATTTGTGGAAAGGTATTTCAACACCATAGCAAGGATAACATATAAGTCACAGGCCCCCTGAATTGTACTGCAGTTCAGTTTAAGCAGGGGGCATATTATTAGCATTAGAGACCTAAAAAAAGGTCAAGCACTGTTAAAAGACACTTTCAATAAAAAATACATGCAAGTAGTTACGTATGCTGACAAGGATCAGTAACTTGAAACACAATACTGACTGATCACACAGTCAGAGTTCCCTACAATGAGCTGATGACTGTCAAGCTAGTTTACACACACATATTAGTCACACAAACATCAACAGCTCTCAAAGGTGTCAATCTATGGATTCAAACCATATGTATATTTTACATTTTAATTTACAACTATCATTATATTTCAGAACTAGAACTTACCTTGCAATGTCATAAAAAGGTAAAAATTTTTGAAATCTTAAGACACATATTGACAATTAGGTCTGTCATGGGCCATTTTAGGGTGCCTTTTGTACATTTTAATTGCACTTACATGTAGCTAAATGGCACACCACGTGAGTTTTATTTGAGGGAAAAATGGTCATTATGTTTTCATATGATTATACTATGTAAATATTTATTTGCTAAAAAATAATTAAGAGGCAAATTTTTTTTTTCCTTAATATGGTCTGAGGTCAGTTAACCTCAGACAATTTATAACCTTGATGTAAATAATCCTGATAATATATAAATATAACATTTTTGCAACATTTTGAAATTGCGGTTTTGTCATTTAAAAGATTTTATAGATCAAAAAAAATACAGAAAACTAATTACAAGCTTATGAAATCACCATTTGACAATTAAACTGAGACTACAAATTACATTGTTTAAATATGATCATTTTAACATTATAATTTAGTCCTCTTTGAACTGTTTTGATTTTAAGAATACTGTTTAAGTACGATGCTAACCATATGTCAAATCTAGTATGTCAAACATCTCATGTTTCAGCACTCACCACGTGCACATGTTGGCTCGGCTCTGCCCCAGCCATCTGATGAAACTTATATGGACTGATATCAATGAGTGATGACACATGACCATGGTAGGCACTGCAGGAAAAACAGTGAATGAAAAGCTCAGAGGAATCAATGGAACAAAGTTCCACCATGTTTGTGTGTTATCTTATCTTCAAATGACCTTTGGCTGTACTAGAAAAAAAATACAATAAATCTGCCAAAAACTTTAATCAAATGAACTTAAAGTCCAATCAATGTATTTTTTGCACAGCTTTAGCTTTGCATATCGATGCGGATGCTTATTATATTTATAAGCAATAAATTGTGATTTTCTTTCACAATATGACAAAATAGAAGACATAAGACAAGGTTAATATTTAAGCTGTAAACTTCACATTTCTAAGAACCTAGTTACTGCTTAGATCAAAAAAGTAGACACAGAGTAACAGACATTGTGCTGTTGACTTACTTATCCAGTGTGATGATGTCTTTGTGCCCAGTGTACTGCCAAGCCAGCCTCAGGGCCAGATCATTTGCCTCAGACCTATATATTAAAATGAAACAACTGATGGGTTTCATTGCCTCATATCTACTTACTCATCCATTCATTAGGTCAACCGGAGCTGGGAACAATTCCAAAAAGACATAATTTGAAGGGCATCTGCACTTATGTTAGTTTGTTTTTCATCATCCGGTGGTCTTCATAATCCTGGACCTGGCTGCATCCTGAGCAGGTGCTATGGTTGATGTGGAGGAGTGGAGAGCATAAGACTGATTCCTGGAAGACCCCAGTGACAGACAAGTCTGCATTGATCCTGTGGGCCAGCCTGTACACTAGCCGGTGACCTACTCACACCTGCAGCTTTTCCACGATAGACGTCCAGGGTTCTTCAACCTCCAGCGACTAGACTGCAGCTCTGCACAAGAAGTTTGGCCAGAGGTTGTGCCTAACTGAGCCTGGTTTCTCTCCAGGTTTTTTCCTTCACTTTTGTCAATTGGTGAAGTTTTGCTCCTTGCCACTGGCTTGCTTGGTTTTGGGGACTTGTGAAGCTGTGCATCAATGGATTTGCTCTTTAGTACTGGGACTTTCAGGAGTGAAAATTAAACCAAACTGAAATGAACTAAACTGACACAGTTTCAATTTACCTGAACTTCTATGTTAAGCTTGATGTTTTGACACAATCCAAGCGCTATAGAAATTAACATGAATGTATGAATACATCATTAAGCTATCATGCCATTACTCAGTAATTACAATATTGCCATAGTGTGTTATTTTAGAAAGCCCTGAAAGTATTTTTTCCCCCAAGAAAACATCTCCTTGAATATAGACACAGCTCAGTAAATTCTACTGGTATGTTTCTGTAATAAAAAGTTTATCACCAGTGGAGTAGTCTTATGAATAAAGCTTCTGCAGTGGCATTAGATGTAGCTAAAGGAATCTTTAACATTCATCAAAACTTTTCATGCCAGATTTTTTAAATTGAAGCTATTATGGGTAATAAAAAGTAGTAGTTTAGTTTTGGGAATCCCCCAACAGCAGGCTTTCATTGTCTTTTAATATGCATTAATTTTTACCTAATTATCTTAATGACTCCCATATGATGTATTATTTTATAATAATATTTTACTAAAACCCAGATAAAGTGTGAATGTGTTGAACAACAAACAGTTATGGCAGGGAGTATTTTTGTGAGTCCAATGCTCACTGCATTCAGTTAAGGATGCAGTACAATTTATATTTTTCTGATTCAACTCTTTCTTTTTAAAAGCAAATAAGTTTATACACAGCAGTTTCAGACATAAACAGCAGGATGTTTTCATTCAAATAAGGCTATTACACACTGCATAAAAATGTAGTTTTCAATAATCTATGATAGAGGCACTTTAAAGTGGAAAAGTGACTTTGGATCATTGAAATGTTTTTAATTTAGGAAAGTATTTTTGGCATTGCTGAAATATCTTCCTTATGGTTACTTTGTCCTAACCTGTAGTTAGTGTTTTGCATATACCTTTAATACAATGCTTTCAACAATTCCACGTTGCAGGTGTGAGTGTTAAGACTTAATGACTGGCAGTCAAGATTTGTCCTCTCATAACAATTTTCATAACAGCATGTGTAGGTATACAAATTGCTCGCAGACCTACCCTGAGTTGACAAAATAGCACACAGACAGCTTTTCGGGAAGGGTGGCTTGAAGCCGCTGAGCATAAAGAACCAGACTGTCATGCAGGAAACGGGAATTGGTGTTGAGAAGCTCCATTTGCTTTGCTCCCGCACTGACCACATCTGGGTGGCAGTGACCCACTGAAGAACAACACAGAAATAGTACATTAGAGTTGAACATCTGGGATGTTTGCAACAGACTCACAGGTTATATACAACGACAGGAAGAGACAATGACCTAACAGTAACAGCTAATAAATTAACTGAAATCAAGGGCAAATGTGACCATGGAAAGAAAGTAAAAAGTTTGACACACTAATTTAAATATAAAATGAATTCCCAATCAGAAAATCATATTTTATAGATAGATTTTAAAATTGATTATTTTAAATCTTAATAAGAATGAATTGTAGTTATATAAATGCTAAAGAGATTTCTTTATTATTCATTTGACAAAGAAATAAATGGAAAAAAACAATAAATGAGGATGAATTACAGATTATTACAATTTATACAAGTTACCAAAATAGAAAACTTTTTTTGGTCATTTACATTTCTAAGAAAAAGAATGAAAAAAATGTATCCATTTACTTATAATTTTACTTAATTAACTTTCACATACATTACATGCATATTTTGCAGGCTATTAAGAAATTTACTGAATTAAGTACATGTGAACATTAATGTAATTTTCATATTTAATGATCCTTTATAGCATGCAAAATAAAATCACATTTGATGGAATTACTAATAACAGCATCTCCTTGTCTACTTTTTGCTCAGTTGGGCTGGGCCCTTTTCATTTCTTGACATTTTTTAAATCTGCTTAGCCTTAGGTCAAAAGTACCACAGTGTTTACTGTATGTCATGTATGCATTTTACATGTGTTTTTCCACATATCATATCTTTTAGAAAATCTCCAGTAAAGTTACAAACCATGTGCTACGTTGTTTATGCAGTCCAGGTATTTCTCATCTTTTTCGTTGTACATATACTGGCCCTTTGCTCGCACAATCTTGATAGGATCATGATCGAAGAACACTTTGCAGGATGGACTTCACATTGGGAAAAAAAGATAAAGAAATCCTATTAACAACAAATAATAAATAATTGTGTAAACTTAATTGATTGGTGCAATAATTTTAGGGTTAAGCATTTACCATACTGTATTTCGACACAAATTATTCAAAAGTCATGGTTTCACACAGACGTGATCCAGATCAGTCTCATTACAAACCACAAAATCAAGTTTCTTTTTAGATCTGCTAATATTTCTACCCTGTCCACTAACAAAATAAGCATAAACAAATTGGAGCCTTATATTAATTACCTCTGACAGATATAAGTCTGAGAGTGACTGCAGTGACATTTCCTTATCCTTACCCAACATGTTTCTTTCGGAGATCTATAGTCTTCTGCTTATCCAAAGTTTCTGTTGCCATTTCTGGTGCTCACAAGTGTTTGCTGTGCGAGGCAGAAGGAAGACTAGATGTGTGTGTGTGCATGTGCGCAAGAGAACTGTCAACTCCATTAATGTACAAGCTACTGTGTGTGTGAGTGAGAGAGAGAGAGAGAGAGAGAGAGAGAGAGAGAGAGAGAGAGAGGGAGAGAGAAAAGGGGTCAGTGGTAGCTGTGGGTGTTTAACCCAGTACATCGGTATCAGTCATTATGCAAAAAGTAGATTGTTCAATGATTTTTTTTTTAAATGTAGATTAAAGAGTCATACACTTGAAGAAAGTTGCTTTTATTTACCACATAGCATGAGTCTGAAATGAAATGCCATGGCATTCAATAAACAATACAGTTTCCAAGAGCTTAAAACATGAGGGTTGACCACGAGGAGTAGAAAACCCCTGCTTCAAAAGGATTTAACAACAATATAAAAATAAAGAAAGAAAAAATACAACAGACATAAAAAATAAGATAAATTTAAATGCAGCAACAATAATATAAATGGACTGTTCATAAGACTGTCATGACACCTTTATAATCATGACATGACACATGTAATGAATTTGAATTAAATTTTATGTGCTTATGACAACTTTCAAGTGTCAATTGCTCAGTTATGTTATATTAAATGCAAGATGACATTGTTTGAGATGTCTTTGGTATGACAACATGACATAACAAAGACAAAATGGCTTGTCATAAACATGATTGTCATGTCATGAATCCATTGCAGCTGCGGCATGAATATGTTTTCTAAACATTTTTTTTATTATTATTATTTCAGTAGTACAAAATATTTTGTTCATTAAAGTGTCTTATTAAAAGGGTTAATGCTTTGCTAAAAAAAGAAAGAAAAAAAAGAAAAAACTTTATAACACTGTGATTAATATGTAATTAAAGTTAATGTCTTTTTAAAACAAATTGAATTAGTACCAGTAATTGAAGTAAAAAAAAAAAAAATGTTAATGATACTGTTATAAAGTTCATGATGATTACAATGGCATCAGGGCAGTCATGTTTATGACAGATTTATGACAACTTATGTTGTCTTGGTAATGTCAAGTTGCCATGACAAAGACACGTTATATTTCGTTATATCGAGTTGTCATAAAGACATTTTAACAATGTCACTGTTGCTTTCAAAATGCCACAACTCAGCAAAAAGCACTTACAGTTGTCATAAGCATGCTTAAAAAAAACACCTTTATATTCATGATGTTTTGAGGTCATCATTATAAGTTTTCCTGACAGTCCTTTGCACACACCCTCAATTAAAGTGTTACAACAAATACTAATAGTCAAAAATAAGATTAGATGATCTTTGATCATTGTGGAGAATGTATCATGGGGAAATTACCACAATAATACAACATCAAATTATGCACAATATATTTTGTTCAAATCTTTGACTTGGTGCTTCATGTGTATTTAATCAGGTTTGAAACTCTGCAGGACAGTGCAGGAAACTCTGCAGGACAACTTGTCCCTCTTGAGGAACAAGTTTAAACATTAATGCTATACATATGTAAACAACAAAAACACATAATGAATTATACAGATTAGTTGCATGATTCAAATTTGACAAAAATAGTTGAAAATAGGCTTTGTACATGCTCAAAGAAAGAAACAACAGAAACATTGTACAAGCAAATATCTACATTATAAAACAATAAATTGTTAAACCTTACAAATATTATAAAATATAAGTGGAACTAGTAATGCAAGGTCTGCTTGTTTTTTGGCAAAAAAAAAAAAAAAACAAGGACATACTTTATTCAGAACGGAACAAGTGGATAATTTGCCTCCCATGCCTTCTATACAAACTTTAGGACAAACATCTAATAAAGAAATATTTGGTGACATTATGATAGTAGAAATAAATTGACATTGAAAATTACTAAAATGGTTGAGAGTAGAAAGGAAATGAAAGTAGTTTGACATCAAAAGTTACACATGTGAGTTTGAAAAATCCATCATGGCCATTTTCAGTTTGTTTAAAATAAAACAAACATGACAATCAATGACAATTTCAGATATTACAATATGGTTGAGTAAATAAGATTTGTTTGTGGTGCACATTACATCCGTACTTGAAAAAGAAATATGAATTGCACTTTAAACTAATTAATACAACATTTATCCGCACACTCTATACATTTATACATTTACTGCAACAAGATATAAATAGAGAATGAACGGGGGGGTAGAGGGAATTTGTTTTTTAGGAAATATTTTACAATATTTCTGTCACCTGAATGAATATTCAGTAATATTTTAACAAACTGCTGGCCAAAAAAAAAAAAGAAGAATAAACAAGAACATATGATCTACAAGAATCATCAGATGCTTAATGTCTCCACAAACACAACTACAGCACAACACATTAAGTTAATAGGTCTTTAAACTTTAATATAATACGGAATGCCTGATGTAGAATATAAAAAGGCATGTAAAATTTGATAAAACTTCGAAAAAAAAAAACATGGTTACTCTTCATTAAGTAACCAGTAAACTAGTTAAAGTACAGTATTTTTGAATTTTTATAATGATCTTACATGCCCACCAGCCACAAAAAAAAATATATATATTATAAAGTCAGCAGCACTGTGATCATTTAACTATTGCTACTCAAAAACGCTTACTAAAATCTAGGCTGTTGTCAAAAGGTTTTTAAGCTGTAAAAATAAGTGAACAAAAGGATAAAACTTTGAACACTTTGCTTGATGAATGTGTAGCCTGATAACAAGTTATGTAATGATAATCAATGCTGGTCAAACAAAAAAAAGCCTCAGAGTCTCATGCCTATTGTATTTTTGCACCTTGCACTGTGAATTAACACTCAAATAGATAAAGCAGATAAATACTGATTACTTTAGAAAGTTTTTTTTTTTCAGAATTTCAGTGCCATGAAACCACAGTAGCTTATGACAAAGTTGTCATATTCCTATAATAACCTTATTAAAAGCATGGAGAATGTGACACTTTTACCTCCAGCAACACATGCACTTATGAATCTTTGTAGCTGCAACAGAATACAGTAAAATATCTTATTTACACCTCAAAACAGAAAGAAATAAAACATATCCAGCAAAGGAATGAATAACAAATGTCTTTAGGCACAAAGGCAATAATGCATAAAATGAGCCAATCAAACTATGAGTCATTATCAAAGAAACACCATTCTGTTGTTCTCAGTAGATCTGAGTAGCTCACTTCTACAACAACAAGATGCCACTGAAGAGTGAACAAGGACAGCTTCGCTGGTGGAGGGAAGAATGTAGTGACTTCCAGTTTCAGTTTCCTAGCTTACTCTAGAGCAGCCACAGATGGTGGGAGGAACATGTGTCCTGCTCTTTCAATAATACCAGTCTGTCAAATTGTCACTTTCATCTCAAGGCAGGAGTTGCGCCAATGCAACACCTGAGGCGTAGTCGGGCAGATGCCACACTGACCTCTTTGTAATAAAGAAATCCAGCAATCACACTTTTTTGACTTTCTTAAGCCACCAGCCAAGGCGTGACACCCTTTATAAGGTGAAAACAAACCAAAAATTAACCCCTTTAGAGGAACAAGTCTTTTTGATTCAAATCGACAAACACAGTCAGTGGCAGTTAGTGATTTGCAGAAGCCATACACTGTGATTCTGTGATACTTCAAGTTGACTTCATGCTTGTTTCGGGACGTGTGGATGGAGTCTTTAGTCTTGTAAGCTGGTAGTATGCATGATGTGAAGATGAACAGGTAAAATACACCACAAGATCCTGTTCAAGAACCAACTCCAAAACTGTTTTGATATTTAATTCTCATTCTGGGCCATGCAAAGCCGGGCAAACACACCTTCATGGACAAGAGTTTGTTGCTGGTCAAGTCTTTAAATTCCACAGTGCTGATGTGAATGTAACAAATGTTGTCATAAACACATGAAAGTGGTAGAAGCAGCTACATGTGAACTCCATGATAAAAAATAAAAATAAAAAAAATACATCCACTTTCAGTTATTTTATTCTAACTTCAATTAATCATTTACAGAATAAAAATAAAATAAAATAAGTGTATAAATACAAAAAATTTAAAGTAAAAATATTTCCTTATTTACAAACTCCATGCATTTTGTGTTAGATTGATCACTGCAAAGAAAAAACAAAACAAAAACAAAGACAAATATGTTTTAATATATGGAAACAAAGTTTAAGAACAAATTTTAAATGCCAAAGGATGCCACCTTAAAATTCATGCTGTTATTATGTCAACAAAGTTGTGGAAAGCCATCTCTAATACTCATCCACATTTTAATATATATTAAATAATATATATAATCAGTAGTTAAAAATAAGCAGTTATTAATTATTTAATAAGCAGCTTTTCATATTGTAAAAACCATTTACAAAATCTGTATCACAAGGTCAGTATTACAACATTTATTCTTGTTTGCAATTGTCTACAAAACAAACCACTGTTATTAAATGACTTGTCTAATTAACTAAACATAACATATAACCTGGTTTAAATTGCACTTAAAGCTAAATACTAGTATCTTGAAAAATAAGTAGAAAAATTATATGTATTATCACTATGGCAAAGACAAAATAAATTAGGTATTAAAATATTATGTTCAAAATGTGTTGAAAAAAAAAACTCTCTGTTAAGCAACACAAATATTCTTAAAGACTTATCATTTCACAGGAGGGCTAATAATTTTGATTTAAAATTACATAGTTATTGGAGAACTTCTTAAACTTACCTTCTGCCAACAGCCTGGCATGGGAAGCCCATCTGGACCCTGTATGGTAGATGAAAAAACAACAACAGGCAATATGTAACGTCAGTACAGCTTAAGATGCAATTAAACTTTTTATTCCTTAAATTGATGGAAGATTCAAAGGCTGTGTGATATGCCCTTTGATGCAATATGTTGCCTTAAATTAAACCTCAAAGTGATTAACCATAATGATGTGTTGAAGTTAGGAAATGTAAACTTTGGTACTCTGATTGTGCCAGGTAATCATGCATGCAAAAAACATTTTTTATACAAAATATCAGCTTATAAACTACACATATAAATAAATGAACAAACACCTTTGCAAATCTGTCTATGATGAAAGCAATGAGATGTTAAAACTATTATGTTTAGAAATTTGTTTAAAAAAATCTCGTCGTTAAACAGAAACTGGGGAAAAAATAAACAGGGGCTAATAATACAGGGAGGCTAATAATTCTAACCTATGTATAAAAGTGTACATTTTGAAAAGGTACCACTCAAGTGACCACTTTTGTACCTTTATAATTATAAACTCTCAGAAATAAAAGTACAGGAGCACTGGAGCATGCTTCTTACCTTTTCAAGCAAGCATATTTGTCCCTGAAGGTTTCATAATGGTACCTCAAAGGTGCTTTTCATGTACATTTGGGTACTAATATGGACCTTTCAGGTACCACTGCGGACTATTTGGGAACAAATATGTATCTTTTAAAATGGTACTGCCCCAGTGACAGCTCCTTTTTCTATATGTCTGTATACTATCAGAAAAAATGGTACAAACCCTTGTCACTGGGGCAGAACCTTTATATGGAACAGAATTAACAAAGACAAAGAAACAATGTTGTACCATTGCAGTTTGTACCTTTAAGGACATGATTTGTACAATTGGGAAACCAAAATGTATCTGATTTTTAATACCTGCAGATACAATATTGTTCTTTTATCAAAGGTACAAATCTGACCCATGAAGGTACCATGACAGTGACAAGACACTTTGTACCTTAACAGTGTCAAATGTGCTCCTTCATGAACTATTTAAAGACGTATTACTATATCCGAAATGTGTCAATTTATTTTCAGTAAATATAAAACATCAAATACTTTTTTAAACAATGTTTTTTAAGGTTTCTTATTGTGTAAATGCACCTTTTCCATTTACAATAAAGATATAAATAATACTTTAATATAAATCAAAAGATGTTTTTTTAGCTAGACATTTCACAACACTTTTCACAGAAATGTTACAGAAATACATTCTCTTGTGCACAATTCACACACTACCTTTGCAATCACCTTAAAATCCTTAACTAAATTTTAAAACAGAAATAGCATTATGCAAAAGTATTGTAACGAAATATGCACAATGTTTGATTAATTTTACAATACTAAAATGTCTGCATCAACACTTTGCATACTTTACCAGCTTACGAGTGTAGTGGAAACCAAACACAAAAGGTGTGGATATCAATAATGAAACCTTATATTTATCAAAAAAATGCTAACCAAATGTTTATCAAAAAAGCCTTAAATGTTTAGTTTACAATACCTATAGTTTTGTTTTGTATTATAAAACTTAATAATTATTGTTTATAAGTTTCTTTAAACATATGCTTTGAAATGATAATTTATGGTTTAATATGGAAATTAGTTATAAATTCACTTTGCCTTTCCAGTAGTATTTGTTTTCATAGATATTGTAAGGAGTTGTCCAACACTTGTGTACCTTTTTTATGAGAACAATTGTGTACCTTCATTTTAATTGTGCCATAAAAGGTACAGAACAGTATCCTAAGAGGCCTTATCTGTACCAAATAAGGTACAACTTTTAAGAAGGTACAACACTGTTCTTTAATGGACATCATTTGTACCACCATGTACTTTTTTTGAGAGTGTATATGGCATGTACATTTTAAGTTTAAAACATACTTGCATTAATGCTATAGTAATATATTTCTTTTCAGGTATGTCCGATTAGACAACCAAATGCACAATTATCTGAACTAATAAACATGGTGATTTCTGATATGGCTTAAGAATTTAAATTTATTTACTTTCTGTAGGACTGAGTCGCCAATTGGAACAGATATATGAGAAGGAGCAGGAGAGGGTTAAAGACTGGAGGGGAGAGACTCATGCTGACATTGTACTACAAAACGTGGGGGAAATAAGTATTAAACATGTCACGATTTGTCTCAGTGAACAGGTGGTGTTCCTTTGAATTTTTTTATCAGATGTTAATAACAACAAAATAAATACATATATGAAAAGAAAACAAATTTATTAGTTTACAAATTAAGTTAATAAAATAAATATACACGGGAAAAAGTATTGAACACATGAAAAAGGGAGGTGTAGGAAGGCAGTGAAAGCCCAGACAGCAGCTGAATCTCTCAGTAGTTTTTCAGCAACCATCTGCCCTTCCTAATTGTAAATCAATGTTGCCTGCTTCAGTCCAACATCTACATTAGCAGGAGGATAAAGATGAATCCAAGGTGGACATTTCTGCAAAATGTTGGTAAAAATCCAAACAATATATATATATATATATATATATATATATATATATATATATATATATATATATATATATATATATATATATATATTTATTTAAATATGTGTGTGTGTGTGTGTGTGTGTGTGTGTGTGTGTGTGTGTGTGTGTGTGTGTGTGTGTGTGTGTGTGTGTGTTTAATGACAATGGAATGACAAAAGGAGAAAGTACTGAACTACTAAAATGTATTTAATACTTTATATAAAAGCTCTCTATATACAATGCCTCTCAATTGGAGAATTAAATCATGCATTGACTTCAACATAGTGTCTAAATCTTGATGGTTATGGGAGTTTTATCCATCTAATCTGATCTTTATTTTGTATTTTCTATTGAATCCAAGTCAGGTGATTTTACAGCTTTATTTTCTTTCTCTGAAAACTTTGAGAGTCTCTCTAGCTGTGTTTTGTATCATTGCCTTGCAGTTATGCAGTTACCGCTTCTCCCCTCTCCGCGAGTCGGGTCCCGATGTGGCCATCATCGGTGACTCGATCGTTCGTCACGTCCGTGCCGCCTCCTCAAAAGGTAATAAAGTACGTACTTTCTGCTTTCCTGGTGCCCGTGTGAAAAATATTTCTACACAGATTCCAACCATCCTGGGCGCTGCCGAGAGCCCTGGTGCCGTTGTCCTCCACGTGGGGACAAACGACACCGGGCTCCGGCAGTCGGAGATCCTGAAGAAGGACTTCAGGAGCCTGATCGAGACGGTTCGACGCACCTCGCCCGCCACGCAGATCATCGTTTCTGGGCCGCTTCCTACCTACCGACGAGGAAATGAAAGGTTCAGTAGACTTTTAGCTTTGAATGAATGGCTAATAACATGGTGTAAAGAACAGAAATTGCTCTTTGCTAATAACTGGAATCTTTTCTGGGAGCGTCCTAGGCTCTTCCGTCCTGACGGCCTGCACCCCAGTCGAGCCGGAGCTGAACTCCTGTCGGACAACATCTCCAGACTACTTCGCACCATCTGACTAGCAGGTAAAAATTCACAAAATTCACACTATAGCCACCTAGACTCTTGTTCACCCCACTTAAACATCAGTAACGCATATCTGGCGAATCCTATAGAGACTGTGTCTGTTCCTCGTATTATTAGATTAAGAAATAAACGTACTGTGTGCTCCAGGAAAAATCTAGTAAGAATCAAACCAGAAAAACCAGTAGAAAGTGAAAATACAAATTTCGTAAAACTTGGTCTCCTAAACATCAGGTCACTTGCACCTAAAGCACTTATCATTAATGAAATAATAACAGAAAACAATCTTAATGCACTCTGTCTCACTGAAACCTGGCTGAAACAAAATGACTATATTAGCTTAAATGAAGCAACTCCTCCAGGATTCTTATATAAACATGAGGCTCGTCAAACTGGTCGTGGTGGTGGAGTTGCATCAATCTTTAGTGATTTCCTTAATATTAAACAGAGAAACGGACTTATGTTTAGCTCCTTTGAAGTATTATCGCTTAATGTTCAGCTGCCAGATACTATACAAAAACCTATGTTATCTCTCGCTTTAATCACCATATATAGACCCCCAGGACCCTATGTCAAATTTCTAAAAGAATTTTCTGATTTTATTTCTGACTTACTAGTCAAAACTGATAAAATGCTAATTGTAGGTGACTTTAACATCCACATAGATGACGCTAATGATACATTAGGGCTCGCGTTTATGGATTTAATACACTCACTTGGGATAAAGCAAAACGTTGTGGGTCCAACCCATCGCTTAAAGCATACATTAGATCTAATTCTGTCTTATGGAATCGAGGTTATTGACGTAGACATTATACCACAAAGTGATGATATTACAGATCACTACCTCTTACTATATAAGCTATGTTTACCTGAAATCAGCAAACCCGCTCCAATACTCCGCCCTAGTAGAACTATTGTTCCGTCAACTAAAGATGAATTTATAAATAACTTACCTGATCTCTCTCTATTTCGTAATGCACCCGCAAACTCAAATGATCTTGATGTAGTAACCAGCAGTATGGATGCCATCTTTACTAGCACACTAAATACTGTGGCACCCATCAAATTAAAAAAGGCTAGAGAGATTAAAACTATACCATGGTATAATAGTCATACTCGTGCGCTCAAAACAGCAACCCGCGCCCTGGAACGTAAATGGAAAAAAACTAATTTAGAGGTCTTTAGAATTGCGTACAAAGACAGTATGTCCAGCTATAGGAGGGCTCTAAAATCTGCCAGGACCGAGCACCTGCGCAAACTGATAGAAAATAATCATAACAATCCTAGATTTTTATTTAACACCATCTCTAAATTAGCAAATAATCGGTCATCCTTGGAACAAACTACTCCACCGCAAATTAGTAGTGATGACTTCATGAATTTTTTCAGTAATAAAATAGAAGGCTTTAGACAGAAAATAGGAGATGCCAAACTTTCTGCACCGGCTTATACTCCAAATCCTGTAAATATTTCATTAAATCATAATAATAACCTACACTGCTTCAAAATCATAGAACATGAAGAGTTAGTAAAAATTATAAATAGCTCTAAACCAGCTACGTGTATGCTGGACTCAATTCCAACAAAATTACTGAAAGAGCTGCTACCTGCTATAGGAGAACCTCTTCTTAACATTATCAACTCTTCTTTATCTATAGGCCATGTTCCAAACTCTTACAAGCTAGCTGTTATTAAGCCTATTATTAAGAAACCGCAACTAGACACCAACAACTTAGCTAACTATAGGCCTATTTCAAATCTTCCATTTATGTCTAAAATACTAGAAAAAGTTGTTTCCACTCAATTATGCTCTTATCTGCAGACGAACAATATTTTTGAAGTGTTTCAGTCAGGTTTCAGGGCTCACCACAGTACAGAAACCGCCTTAGTGAAAATAACCAACGATTTACTCTTAGCTGCTGACCGAGGGTGCGTCTCGCTATTAGTTTTACTCGATCTTAGTGCGGCATTTGATACCATTGACCACAATATCCTCATAAATCGTTTAAAGTCTACAGGTGTCCAGGGACAGGCTCTACAATGGTTTAAGTCTTACTTAACTGACCGCTACCAGTTTGTAAATCTTAATGGACAGCCTTCACAAATCTGCCCAGTAAAGTATGGGGTGCCTCAAGGATCAGTTTTAGGCCCTTTACTGTTTACAATTTACATGCTACCTCTGGGAGACATTATTAGAAGACATGGGATCAGCTTTCACTGCTATGCAGATGATACTCAATTATATATTTCCACTAAACCTGACGAGACGTCTGAACTTTCTAAACTAACTGAGTGTATCAAAGACATCAAAGACTGGATGACCAACAATTTTCTTCTCTTAAACTCAGACAAAACAGAATTATTACTTATTGGGCCTAAATCTTGCACACAGCAGATCTCGCAACTCAATTTACAATTAGAGGGATACAAAGTTAGCTTTAGCTCTACTATAAAAGATTTGGGTGTCATATTAGACAGCAATCTAACTTTTAAAAACCATATATCCCATGTCACAAAAACTGCCTTCTTTCATCTTAGAAATATCGCTAAATTACGAAATATGCTATCCATCTCAGATGCAGAAAAGCTAGTCCATGCTTTTATGACTTCGAGACTGGATTACTGTAATGCTCTATTTGCTGGCTGCCCAGCATCCTCTATTAACAAACTTCAATTAGTACAAAATGCAGCAGCCAGAGTTCTGACCAGGTCTAGAAAATATGATCATATCAGCCCAATTTTATCCTCCTTACACTGGCTGCCTGTTAAGTTTCGTATTGAATTTAAAATATTACTTCTCACCTATAAAGCTCTAAATAATCTAGCTCCTGTTTATCTAACCAACCTTCTGTCTCGCTACGAACCAACTCGCTCCTTAAGATCTCAAAATTCAGGGCTTCTGGTAGTACCTAGAATAGCAAAATCAAGTAAAGGAGGTCGAGCCTTCTCTTTCATGGCTCCTACACTCTGGAATAGCCTTCCTGGTAATGTCCGAGGCTCAGAAACACTCTCCCAGTTCAAAACTAGATTAAAGACCTATCTGTTTAGTAAAGCATACATTCAATGCATCACCTAGCGGGTTCCACACTGGCTTCTACATCTTGCTTATATACACTATGAACAGCAGCTACGCTAATTTTTCTCTTTATTCTCTATTTTCACCTGGGGATACTCATCCCGAGGTCCTCAGATTAGGCGGAGTCACTGATTGGATCCAAGACCAGCGACGTGATGATCCCAAGGATTCCATATCCGGGACCAGGCCATATCCTGAGCTGCTGCTGCGCTGATGGTCGTGGGGACTGGAGAACATGAGTCTGATTCCAGCGACGCTCCAGGGACAGACGAGTCTTCATTGAGGCCATCTTCCAGCATAAGCCACGGCGAATGAAGTTCTGCACAAGACTTTTGGCCAGCGGAGAAATTAAAATGGTCGTGCCCAACTGAGTCTGGTTCTCTCAAGGTTTTTTTTTTCTTCACTCCCATCAGGTGAAGTTTTTTTTCCCTCTCCGCTGTCGCCACTGCCTCGCATGGTTCAGGATTGGTAGAGCTACGCATCGATGAATTTGCTCTTCAGTGTTTGAACTCTCAGTAATGATTAAATCACACTGAACTGAGCTAAACTGAACTGAACTGAACTTAAACACTAAAACCTGAACCACACTGTTCCAGTTACTATGACCATTTATGTGAAGCTGCTTTGACACAATCTACATTGTAAAAGCGCTATACAAATAAAGCTGAATTGAATTGAATTGAATTGAATTATGTTCACCCTGCTGCTGATATTCATTTACAAGGAGGACGGGCAGAGGGTTGCTGAAGAACTACTGAGAGATTTCAGCTGCTGTCTGGGTTTTCACTGCCTTTCAACACATTCCTTTATTCATGTGTTCAATGCTTTTTTCCCCTGTATAATTTCATCTTATTACACATGACTAAATTTGTAAACTAATTAGATTTGTTTTCTTTTCATATACTGAACATACAGTATTTGTTTGGTTGTTATCAACATCTGGTAAGAATTCAAGTCAAGAACATCTTTAGAAATATGTTATCTGAAAAGAATGATGGGGTGTTGTTCAATACTTATTTTCCCCACTGTAAGCTCCCTAGAGCAGTTTGGTAAAAGATGGATAATTTAGAGGCCACTACAGGCTATTTCATCTGAAAAGAGCAAAGACTGTTAAATAATAAGAAGGAGAAGATACTGAAAAAACTAAAAAACAATTTAATGTAATTCCAGCAGGTTTTTAAAAGTATTTCAAAAGGATTTCAAAAGTAGGAAAAGAGGAAAAAGTTTTGCATTGCATTATGGGGCCTTTGGCTGTAAATTGATGATGATGATGAAAACCCTGTTGAAAAACAATGATTTTTATTGAACTTTTAGTAATTTGAAACAATATGTAATAATGAGAGAATTGGGTCTGTAAAATAACAGAACACGCACTACCAGTTTATTGTACTTTACCTATTCTGTACTTGCCCCATAATACAATTTAAAAGCATAAATAAATAAAGGAAAAAAAAAAAAAATATATATATATATATATATATATATATATATATATATATATATATATATATATATATATATATATATATATATATATATATATATATATATATATAAGAATTATTACATCTCCACTAAATGATAAATTAATCTCAGGGAATAAATTAGTGTAACTAATGCTACCATGCACTTGGGAAATGAATTGAATTTATTGGATAAAGTATGCAGTACAATAAGGTAAAAAGGCAAAAAGGCAATGAGATATGCTTGTTTGCATTAAATTCATGCATAGTTTTGGGCATAAACTCATCTGAAAGTGTGAATGGGTAATAGGCTGGCAGCAAGCATGGGTGAGGTAGGAAAAGAGGATACTGTACCAATTGGCATGGGGCATCCAGCCCATCCAGGCCAGGCTGACCTGGCTCGCCCTTTTCACCCTTAAAGCCCCGGAAACCCTGTGTCATAGAAATTGAACTGGGAGTGTTACTAGGATAGAGGCTGCATTCACCCTTCCGGCCTTCCGCTGTGAAGGCACGGCATAGGGCAGAGAGGAGAGGTCCAGTGGTTCTTAGCAAACATTAACCATCATTCCTTGATACGTCCATTATGTTAACTTATAAGAAAGCATTTTGAGCTGATTTGGAAGTGCAGTTTGATTTTGTTAAAGGAAGATCTGTATTGAAAGGATTTTGGAAGCAATTGTTTTAGCAAAACTATGTATACATATTTCAGATATCAAGGGTGAGGTGGGTTGCCATTTTAACAACGGGAACAACTCTTCCCTTAGGGGGTACGCTGTCTTACTTCAGCGGCACATTTCCAGCTGTCAGCTGGGACATACCAGTGGGCAGGGTGCATCTAATCCAGGGGCACCCTGTTCTCCTTTCTCCCCCTTAGGCCCCTTTTTGCCCTTCTTTCCCTTTTCCCCCTGTGGACACAATAGATGGTCAGCTGAAGAGTTTGTATGGTTTATGTTTGTTTGATTAGTTTTGTTAAGTTTTTTTTTTTTTTTGAATTTTTAGATTTTTTTGTGTCACAATTTAGTTTATTTTATATATTTTTAGTATAGTAGCTACACTGAAAAGCAATAAAACGTAAATATAATATATACCTTCCTTTTTCTAATTGTAACAATGCAGCAAGTAACATTAATTGTGTTACAAAATAGTTTTTTTTTAATAAACAACACTTTTGTTCATCAAAGAATGCTGAAAAAACATGGATCATGGTTTCCAAAAAAAAAAAAAAAAAAAAAGTCAATAGAAATGTTTTTAAAACTGATGATAATAAGAACCATTTAAATTAACTGATGACTAATAATAACTGAGCACCAAATTAATTCTGAAGAATCAATTACACTGAAGACTGATAGAATATTAATAGTAAAATCTACTTCAAATAAATATACCTCTAGGATAGCATATTTCAAAAAATGAATACATGTAGATGATTCCAATCTCTTGAATCTGGTTCTGTCTGACAATTTATTTGTCATGACTGGAGATTTGTAAATAAATGAAAAAAAAACACTACTTGCTTTGAAGAATAGGTCGGGTTTCCTAAACTTCCTGAATGTTCTGCAGTTGTTATGATGTATAAAAATGTGAACAATAATAATATTAATAATAATTACACAGCATATTATGCAATGCAGTGACATGTTTTCTATATGTGTATTGAAACATACAGAATAGCTTTACTAAGAAGTGTTACAAGGAGGAAACGATTGTGAGGGAGTCTTTGAGGAACAGGGGAAGTTAGATGGGAATACCAGTAAGGAGGAAGAGGGAAGAAAGTCTGTCAATTAAAACTGAAGGGAACAGGATTAACTGGAGTTTTGCAGGGCACAAGGGAAGAGAAAGAAGAGCCTGGAAAACATCTCACAACACATTCCCACACACCCCATCAAACCACACAGACAGCAAATCTTTATCCACTCAATTATGTTGTTAAAAACACAGAAAATCAGTTCACTCCAACATTCAGATCTTCTTGGTAACACTAAACTGTGTGCATTAATTATTAATTATTATTAATACATAAAAAAACAACCTGCTTAACATGAACAAGAAATTTCGTTACGTTGAATTTTAAATGGTGACGAAAAACTTATAGATATTTAAATAAAATAAACATTGAATTAAATGTCAAATGTAATGAAATGATCATGCTGCTTTAAGCTGTATGTAAACTTATAAACTTGTTCCCTTATAAGGGAATAAGATGTGTTAGTAGCTATTGATATGAGAACACCCATCGGTGAAACATCACCAGAGCTTAAAAATTATTTTACAAATTAGTTGTATTTATGTAGTGCTTTTCTGGGCACTCAAAGCACTTTATAGATTTGTATATGCCACACACAAGCCTAAGGGTTGAGAAGATAGGGTGACTAGACAGGGTGATGAAGTCAATTACATGATATGAAACTGACTGTACACTGACAGTATCAACACAGGCTCATTCTGAAAATGTAGCCCTTTATAAGTTTCTGGAGATCGCAAATTATGTAGCCAGAGCCAGGCCCGTGCAGAGACTGTCCAAAGGGCATGTGCAGGAGAATTTTTTTCAAGAGCGGGGGTTGTTGTTGTTGTTGTCGTCGTCATCGTCGTCGTTGTTGTCGTCCTCGTCGTCATCGCGGGCGTACTGAAGAGCGGTGTTGTCGTGCGCGTTCTGATCAGCGTTGTTGTCGCGCATACTGTGAAGCGTGGGCACTTTTGATCATTCTAGAAGGGCACATTCTATCCAAGACTAAAAAGGGCATGTGCACTGCACAGGTTGAGCCTTATATGTGGCTATGTATGGCCTCATTTCACCTTTAAAAGAAAAGCTAAGGGGCATTAAGATGCTGTTCCTTTTCTGGCTTAGCTGACCACTTATCACTGTATGGACGGCTTTCCTGCTGTCACCAGTTTGTCCGGTAGCTCGATATGTATGTCGGCAGACTTGAGGCACAGAGCAGAGTTGACTGCGACAATAGGGTTCAAGTCTGGTGAAAAACGGTTCCAGAAAGCGAGTACAAAAAGCAGGGACAAAAACAGAAGCCAAAAATCAATTAAACAAGCAAATAACAAGGTGAGAATGTGGTAAAATCTGAAAACGTGGTAAAAATAAGGTGAGGGTCCTTCTTTTTCTGGATTGCTTTTTAAAACAATGCAGTTGGGTTTAGCGAAGGGGTAAGGTAAAAATCTGTTTTTTAAAATGCTATTGGTTGGGTTTAGGAATGGGGCAAGGTGGGTCAGTTGATCAGTCAGTCGGTCGGTCGGTCGTTGAGTCGTTGGGTCGGTTGTTGGGTCGGTCAGTCAGTCAGTCAGTCAGTCAGTCAGTCAGTCAGTCAGTCAGTCAGTCAGCGGCCTCTGGTGGATTTACTTGAGAACAGCAGGTGCAAATGTCAATTGCGAGAGAAAATTGAGATCTAAAAGTGTATACACAGTGGCCTGTGTACAAAAACTTCAAAAAAAAATTAGCTCCTGGGATGTAATTTGCTGTCTCCAGAAATGTATATAGGCGTATACGTAATAAGAATGAGCCTGTGTTGGACAGTATAGAGTCCCCATTACTATACCGGGGCAATAGGACCCACAGAGACATAGGGTGAGAACCCCCAGCTGGCTTTAATAGCTCCTCTTCCAACCTAGTTTTCCCATGTGGTCTTGCATACAGTTATCAACCAGGTACAACCCAGCTTATCTTCAGTGTGCAAGTGCAGAGCTGTAGAGAGCTAGCAGCTGCAAATGTGCCTTTTAAATATGTATTATCCCAGTTACAGCCTTATATATATATATATATATATATATATATATATATATATATATATATATATATATATATATATTTTTTTTTTTTTTTTTTTCTATGAGTGCACCGCTATGTTTTTTATCTAAATAAAAACATAGAAAATCTGAAAGGTCTGGAAGAAAATAGCTTAATGCTAGAAATACATCTGCAGACAATTTCTGTGATATGAGAGATCCTTTTCAGAGCTTTTTTCAGACTCTGCAAGCTGGGGAGCCTTTTTAGACTGCTTAACTGTCATCTGTACATTATCATTATTATTTAATTAGAAAGTTAACAATTAGAAACAGTTAACATTCTGCTATGATCCACCATCAAAGTATTCTTATGTGAATCAGGCCCAGTAAAGCAGACCCAAAGTGTGCAAATCAGACTCACACATCTCACTTGTGCTGACAACAAGCAGGGCACATTGAATGATCAATTCCATGCTAGTTCAGCACTCAGATGCTTAGAAGTTGTAGTTACAGAAATATCACAGGACACAACTGGCAGATGCAGAGGGTGGACAATGAAATTGAAACACTAGCCAATTTAGTGTTGGAGGTTTCATAGCTAAAATTGACCAGCCTGGTGGCCAGTCTTTATTGATTGCACATTCTACCAGTAAAAGCAGCATGTGAGTAATAGCACAGTTATGCTTTAAATATTGCAATGCTCACAACATTGTAGGTGACATATCAGAGTTTAAAAGAAGACAAATTGTTGTTGCACATCTCGCTGGTGGACAAAAACTTAAGACACCAAGACATTACGATGTATCAAAATCCACGGTATGCAGGGTAAAAGTCAGCTTACCCTCAATAATAAGAACCACATATAACAGGAGTAACTGTGGATGCAAGAGGAAGCTGTTTGAAAGGGACGTCCAAGTGCTAACCCAGGTTGTATCCAAAAAAAACAAAATCACAACCACCCAACTCACTTTTCATTAGTAGCTCCACAGGGTCAATATACGGTCTGATAGAGCCACAATAACCAGCTTTGGTCATTTATGCTAATGCCAAACGTCAGTTTCAATGGAGCCCCTAAAATAATATACATGGGCGGGCTAATATAGCCACTATAGCCAGCTTTGGTCACTCATGGCAATGCCAAACGACGGTTTCTATGGAGGCCCTAAGATAATATATATGGCCAGGCTGATATAGCCACTATAGCCAGCTTTGGTCACTAATGCTTATGGCAAACATTGGTTTTAATGAAGGCTCTAAGACATACTAATGAATTATTGTAGTCTAAAACCAGGCGTTTCAGTTTTTTTATATTCTGTAGATTATTGATAAAATATAGTAATTCTAAAAGTTTAATAAAATGAATTAGATTTTTGGAAATCAACTTTACCTAGTGTGAGTATGGCCTATAGTGCTTTTTACTTATTTCATGAAGCGCCAACAGAGTAAGAATATGGCAGTGGCTATTAGATCAAATGTAATTAGAATACTTTATTAGCAGTTGATTCTACCAAGAGTAAGTGCTAGGGATGTAACGGTATCAGAATTTCACGGTACGGTAATACCTCGGTATGAATGTCATGGTACGGTATTTACTGAATCATTTACAGGAAAAACAAAACTACAAAAAAATACTCCAAAAAAGTGCCAAAAGTGTCAATGACATACAAATTAGCCATCTATCTGTAAGCTTTGAAGCAGGAACTTCCATTTTAATAACAAAAAACTATTAAACCATGTAAAAAAAAAATAAAGTTTCAATTTAGTATTGTTGAAAACTCATCACATTCAACATTTAATCACTCACTCACTCACTTACATAGAGATGGGTTTTAAGGAAAATTATCATATAGCTATAATCTGGTAAAAGCTGGTATCTCTGGGTATTTACAATGTCCCCTGCAACAGAAAAAAACCCTCTCATTTGGGACAGGTTTCTGGGACAGAAATATGACTTGGCCCAGGTTGCAGCAGTGGGTAACGTTGTGCATTGTCTTTCCCCCACTTGAGAGGACAAGCCATGAGTGAGATAGAGGTCTGTTTGCGGTACAAGTCAATGTCTGCATCAATCTGAACAGTGTGCTGTGTTTCTGCAGTCCCCATGACTGTTATTAGTCGTATTCCCCACCTTGCAGGCACGTGCACACATAGGGCTCAACCTGTGCAGTGCACATGCCCATTTTATTCTTGGATAGAAAATGCCCATCCAAAATGATCAAAAGTGCCCCCGCGACGCGAAACACCCTCCGTCCCGCCCTTCAGTAGGTGCGCGACAACACCGCTCTTGAGTATGCGCGCTAAACCCCCCCTCCCCGCTTTACAGTACGCGCGGGTAGTTGTAGTTCCGCTACCTCCCGTTCACTTCATTCGCCTGAGCAAATTTTCTCAGAAGACCTATAGTTTTATAGAGTCATGCGACTACGGTAATATCGAAAAAAAATTCTATTGCGGTATGACGGTATTTACAATACCGTTACATCCTTAGTAAGTGCAATTAGCTCTAGAGACAGACAAGCCTGAAATTATTCATACTCCTAGCAAATTCTGACTTAAAGTTACTTTTATTCAACCAGCAAGTTTTTTTTTTTTTTTCCACACAGGTATCTCCCAAAATATAAGAAGATGATGTACAAGGTATGTCACAACCATATCACCCTGTAGCCCAAGACCGGTTAATCACTGAAGCTAAGCAGGGTTGAACCTAGTCAGTACCTGAATGGGAGACCACATGGGAACACTAGGTTGCAGTTGGAAGTGGTCTTAGTGAGGCCTTCAATGTGCTTTACCTGTAGTCTGTGTGAGTCCCAACGCCCCAGAAGAAGTGAAGAGGACACCATACTGTCAGTGAGTGTCCTGACTGTGGCCATTAAAAATTTTATTCCACTTCTCGTAAAAAAGTAGGCCATCAGCCCTTAACCATCATGGCCTCCCAAACATCCCCATCCACCAAATTGGCTCTATCACTGTCTGTAAAAATAAATGAATAAATTAAATTCTCAGCTTTTATTTACATTTGAACAAAAACTCCGAAGGTCAGAATTTGCCAGGGGTATGTATAATTTCGGGCTTGATGTAGCTCAAGATATATTGTATGCCATGTAAAAGTAGCAGTTCTTGGCAATAGGTGTAAATACTAATTAGATCATAGTTTTACTTACAGACTATTTAAACCTTGGTATTGTATATTAATAGGACACACTGTATCCTGGATGCAATAATAACAAACAAAGCCATTTATTTCTGGCTAAATCAGGCAAGGGCAAACTTGATGCTAGAGGGCTGATGTCCTGCATAATTTTGCTTCAACTCTAATCAAACACACCTGCCTGTAGTTTTTTGGTAATCTTGAAGACACTGATTAGTTTGTTGCAGTGTCCCTGCGATACTCTGCAGGGACACTGGCCTTCCAGGATCAAGTTTGCCCATCCCTGAGCTAGAAAAAAGTAAAGAACTAACAATCTGAGATGTGATTGTGCTGATGCTTCCTTGTGAAGCTCTAATGATGCTGTGCATTCAGTGTTTTTGTACAGGCAAATTAGATGACCTATATTGGCTTATCTGATAAACAAACTGTAAAAGGTATATACAGTTGAAGGGCTTAATTATTCACCTTCCTCTGATTTTTTCAGTTATTTCCCAAATTATGTTTAACAGAGCAAGGAATTTTTCAAAGTATTTCCTTTTTTTAAAATTGAAAAAAAAGTAAAAAAAAAAAAAGTTTTTTATTTAAAAATTATTAGCCCCCTTATGCTATGTTTTTATTTGATTGTCTACAGAACAAACCATCATTATATAGCTTGTAAATTAAATAAGCTTGTAAATTGCACTTTAAGCTAAATAGTAGTCTCCTAAAAAATGTCCAGTAAAATATTATGTACTGTCATTATTGCAAAAATATAATAAATCAGTTAATATAAATTAGTTATTAAAAGTATTATGATTAGAAATGTGTTCTTATGTTTAAAAATCTTCTTTCAGTTAAACAGAATGTGAAGAAAAATATATGGGGGGCTAATAATGCTAATAATGACTTCAACTGCATGTAAAAACGGAATTAATAGTGCATTTGATTTTTACACACTGCTGCATTCCATGCCATTAAAAGAATGGAACCCAGTTGCCCAGTGTTAGTCTGTGGAACAGGCTGTTAAAATGATAGGAATCATGCAAGAGAAGATGCCAATAAAGAGCCATTGCAAAAGTGAATGCCTGTTGTCAATGGACTTACATTGTATTTCTTGCTGAAGTAAGAAATATGACATATTTCCAGTTGACAATAAAGTTAACAAAGAATGACTTTTTTGACTTATATGATTGTGGACTGGTATGATAAAATGATGTGTTAGTAATGAACCTCTGAATGATGACATATAAATACAAATGCAGTTGCAGGAAAATGTGAACATTTTGTATTCCTGATTTTTGACATAACCATATAATTTTGATTTTAATTTTAATTTATGATTGTCTTTGATTTGACTTAGCTAAAAACATATTTAATTGTTTGAATTACCTATACATAAAATCAAAGAACTCTTTCCTTATTTTTCCTGCAACCATTAATATTGCTTTCATTCTAACGTAGCAGAAAATCCTTATTTGTATGACCACTAATCTTGTAATTGTAGCACTTATCTTCAGCTTTATGGCTACTTTAGCCCTGTGTGCCTTTGCTGCCTTGTAAGTGTCCATTGACATCAGATCTAATCAAGTATATAAAAGAGAATAAAAGGTTTAATCCCTGTTTCACAACTGTCACAATCACCTTTTCTCCTCTTTCCCCCACGTCGCCCTTGTCTCCCTTTAAGCCTGGTAACCCCTGCAAAAATACAACTTCAAGTAATTACAAATGGCTTGTGAACCATTGGTTCAGGGGTAAAGAACTTTAGTGATATTGCCAGCAGCTACTAGAGCCGAATGGTACCAGGAAGTCACCCAGGAAACAATAAACTAAAAACGTCAACATAAGAGTGCAGAATATTATAAACTCACATCTATTCCGGGCGATCCAGCAGCTCCCTTCAAAGGAGAAAAAGAAAAGAAGATGAAAATATGAATAAGAAATGGACTGGAATACTGAATGACATGAGCATTAATAAGATCCAAATCACAATCACATAATCATTCTTTGAGCACTTACAGGTAACCCATACGGCCCTCTGGGTCCTGGATCACCAATGTCACCCTTCTCACCCTGTGACAGGTACAATTTACAGCAGCTATTTTTATGAACAAATCTAATGTATAGTATTACAATACACTCCTTAACATGTTACAACTGCACTGTGAGGACCAGCATATGTCCATGTGCTGACCATTTAAATTTTCAAGATTAAATTACTGATACCCTGTGAGAATTCAGATAAATCAGATATTAAAAAACAAGAAACGCATGCAAATAAATTTTATTGAGAAATAAGAAAAATAAATCAATAAATATTAAAAAACAGCACAATATTATTCTTATATAATGTTATTATAATATTTCAAATGAAATAATACAATTAATTATGTAACTTATTTAACAATGAAACAACAAGCTTACTACATCTCCCTTTGGACCTGCTGGACCTGGAGCTCCGATTGGACCATCCATACCCTATACAAAAAGAGCAAGTGACATTTTTGGGTCTGCAAAAATGAATAAATAAATAAATAAATACAAAATCAACAGTTCTGCTGATGAGAAAATCAGATAACCCTAACCCTAACACATAAGCAGTTTTGGGTTTATGCATTACAATTTTTAACATCAGATTACTTTTCAAGAAACTACTAAAATGTTAGATAAATTTTCCAATAAGACACTAATATATAGTATAAGTAAAAAAATACATTTTATATCATTACAAACAATTCCCCATTTATTGACAGAAAACTCAATAGCTCATAGACAATAAGGGAGTGAATTTTTTGATGGATGTCTGCTCCATGATGGAGTAACACATAACCTTTCTTATGTCTTTATGATTATTAACAAAGTTGAATGTTCAAGGGCCTTGACTGTATGATGACCTTAAAACTGGAATATTAGGTGTGTGATTGCTTTTTCTGTATGCCAAACGATTTGTTTCCTCAGGAGGCCATGGAGACCTTTTGAGCGGACCTGGAATCCTGAGTTCGCCATTTTATAAAATTTGCCATTTTCTAAGTAAAAAATTTGGTCCCACTTTATATTAAGTGGCCTTAACTAATATGTACTTACAAATGATTTAATAGTTTGTTACAATGTACTTATTGTGTAAATACATGTATTTACTGTGTACTTATGATTAAATACATGTATGTAATTACATCTGTAATTAACTTTTGTAATTACATTTGTATATACACTGTTGACCATCCCTTACACCTTAACCCACCCTTAAACCTACCCATGCCACCAAACCTGTCCATAACCCAACCTCTATCCCAATTCAAAAGTACCAGTGTTCTCAAAAACATTATAAACACAGTAAGTACATTGTATTATATTGTATTTTTGTATGTAAGTACGTAGTAGTTAAGGACACTTAATATAAAGTGGGACCAAAAATTTTAAATGTACTTTCTTTGTATATAAGCTGTCAGTTTGGAGGTGGATTGTACCAGATGTGTTCTATTCTATTGTGGATCATTCACAGGTCTGGGTTCAGCTTTGAACAGCCTAGTGGCTGTCTTATGTTGCTTGAGATGTTGTGATATCGTTCAGAGTTGTACATATGCATCAACGTGGAAATTTTCTAAGTCTATCGATGTTTTAAACAATCAGGTTTAAACACTTTTATGTATGATGCAGTTAAAATGTTATAAGATAGAATAGTTGTTGTTGTTTTAAGATTGTGAGCAGATGGCCTAAACTCTTTATGAGTGTTGAAGCAGGCTCTTCTTTATCTGACAAACTGATCATTTTTGGGTGAAAACTGTAATTGTAGCTGCAGTATTGCTGTAATTAATGATGTAGGTCTAGGCTAAATGTTTAGATGAATTAACTCCTCTCAATTGCACAGAACAAATTTAGAACTCATTAAAGCAAATAAAAACTGGAATGCAAACATCATATTATGCAAACCTGCAATTATTAAATGTTAAATAACACAAATGCCTTTCACAAATTTACAACAATTTATATATTTATTTTTTCGGCTGAGCTTCGATGATTCAATTCAGTTTACTTTATAAGCAATATTGTCTTTTGACAAACATGACATCTGTGTATTTTATTCCAATACATTTTTCCTTCATCTTGAGGCTAGTTTGTTTCCCTTTTGGTGTGAAATGACTCTTATGTTCACAAAAAAGCATTACTTTTTATATTACTGTAACACTGTCTGTGTTTCTGTGTAGTTTTGTTTATCCATGTCACATCATTTTAAGCTTTCCTTTGTTACTTAATTTCCCTTATTAGTTACATTGCTTTCTTATTGTATCCACTCCCTTGTTATAGTTTGTTCATTACCCCACTGTCTGTCACAGTATATATATCCTGTTCTGTAACCCCCTGTTAGTGTTAGTAGTTTTTAAGTCACCCCAATGATGTATGTGTTTCCCTGTTTGTTGTTTTGATTTGTTTATTTTACATAAACCTACTGTGTTGGTTACATTTGGATACTTTCCTCTGTTCATTTTAACTACATGCTCAGACATGACAGTTAAAAACAAGTAAACACAACTTATGAAATATGTATGAAAAGTAACACAGCACATTTTTGCATAAATGTATTGTGCACAATTTTAGGGAGGAAACACAATATTGGCCAGAAAAATTTTCAAAAATGCTCCCCAGCACTTGCCATAAATTTGATCAATGTACTGTTCTTCATAATTTTTTTCTTGGAGAATGACTTCAGCAGTTATACATGCACATCTTACATAAATACACAGAAAAGCAAAAATAATAAATAATGTTAATGAATGAGTGAGTGCTAAATCTGTGTTGATGTCTTTTAATGTCTGAGTCTAACCACATTCCACCTTCACCATAAATGTCTCACATGACTTATTATTTTTTGTATTATTTTAAAACTTGTAGCATGGTGTTGGGAGGTGAAATGTGGCCACTGAGACTCACCATGAGTCCCGGCCTTCCATCAAAGCCAGATGCTCCCTGTGCATTAATGGAAGTATGAGTGGAGGTTTGAAAAGCGTGATTAGTACATGATGAAAACAAATTATAAAAAAAATCATAACATAATATTTTCTAACATAAAAAAATGGATGTTAGATCAACACATAAATATTAATGGGCAGCAACACAGACTTAGTTGACTACATGAGTTATGACAACAAAAACATACATTCATAACAGCAAACAACTAGACACTGAGTTATGTGGTAAATGGGAAATATTTACTAGATAATTGGGGATAAATTACAAAATAACTGGAACCATGGTCATTGTGTACTTACGGGAAGACCTAAGGGTCCTCTCTCCCCCTTATGCCCAGGCTCTCCACGTATTCCCTTGAGACCATGCAAACCTGCTTCCCCCTTAAAAGAAAGATGTAGCAAAAACACAGTTTAGGAATAGCTGAGTAATATTTACTGAGGATCTCATTTTTCACTTCTGGACAAAGATAACTGGACTTAATGCCCCATGATAAATTGTAGCTGAAGATCTGGATGACTAAGAATAATTTGAGTTTAAGATAAAGTCAAAGTTTTGGAAAGTCTTTGTGTATCTCCAAAAATAACACTGCTCTGTTAAGTACTTTCATCTTTTACAGAAAGGCAATTTTCCAACTGAACAATTTATGCCCATTTGCAGGATGCTTTACCAATTTTACTTATCAGATTTATTATTAAGACGGTGTGATTTTTAAAAACAACAAAGTTAAAACTCATGTGGAAATTCTGGTCCAACCTGTAGTACCATACCTTTGGACCAGGGAATCCATGAGGACCCTGCAACACAAGCAAAATGACTTTATAGAACACACAATTATAGATATACAGGGGTTGGACAATGAAACTGAAACACTGGCCAATACCTAAGGGTTTTATGGTTAAATTTCCAAATGCTTACCAAGATTGTGTAATAAAAAAACACAGCTGCCTAGTTCACTGCGGAATTAAAAGTAAACCTTAACTCTCTTGTTTCCACCAAAACTGTTCGTCGAGAACTTTATAGGGTCGTTATACATAGCTAAGCTGCTATAGCCAAACCTTTGGTCACTCATGCCAATGCCAAACGTTAGTTTCAATGGCACCATCAGCAGTGGAAATCTTGGACTGTGGACAATGTGAAACATCCATTAATCTATGATGAATCCACCTTCACTGTCTTTCCTACATCTGGGAGGGTGATGGTGTGGAGAAACTCCAAAGAAGCATACTGCCCAGAGTGTTGCATGCCCAGAATGAACCATGAGGGTGAATCAGAGATGATTTGGGCTGCAATGTCATGGCCTTCTTTAGGTCAGGGCTTCTTGTTCCTGGAGCTCTACCTTCCTGCAGAGTTTAGCCCCAACCCTGATCAAACAAAACCAAACCAACTGAAGCTGTGGTCACACTGAGTTTGAGCATGCAAAATTCTGTCATACAGTGCTGCAAAAAGGGGCAGTATTAAACAAGATTAGACATTTAAAAAGCAAGCGAGTCATGTTATGCGATTTTGCAGGTTTGAGTTCACCAAGCCTAAACTTTGCAACGCAGCGAACTGTTAATCTTGTCGCACAAGCTTGCGTTTCTGATCTGATGCATTCGCATGAGTATGAATGGAAGTCTATGGGGAGAAAAGTCTATTGTGACAGCAGCTTGAGTAGGATCTGAATGAGCATTTGGTAATTATAGACAAGTGTGTTTGATCAAGGTTGCAGCTGAACTCTGCAGGAAGGTAGATCTCCAGGAACAGGGTTAGGCACCCCTGTCGAAGGCCCTATACTTGTGCTAGATGGGCACATCACTGTCAAAGACTTCTGAACTATTCTTGAGAACCATGTGCAATCAATGTTTGAAATATTTTAAATCCTGAAGGTAGTGCCTTGTATTAGAATGATAATGTCAATTATGCCAATACACACAGCAAAAGTGGTGACAGAGGGATTTAATAAACATAAACATGAATTTGGCCACTATGGAGTGTTTTGTAGGAGTGAGTCAGGAAATGTCTTCCTCCATCAGAATCACATAGTGATCTTGGCACTATTCTGAAAGATATCCTCTGGCCCTCTGTCAATCCCAAGATGAATTGATAATGTATTGGCCCCAAAAGCACCTACACCTTACTAATGAATTACTGTGTTCTAAAACCATGAGTTTTAGTTTCATTGTCCAACACCATTTATGTGAAATGTAGAAGATTAATTGACTGTGAGGGAAGTTTGAAGACTGTGATGAACATTGAGGCATTTTTAAGAGCTCAATCTTTTAACATTTATGGACATGCAGAATATGTTTTGTGGTTGCTATGGTGTTTTCTTTAGAGTGAGGGAATTGCTTGGCTATTCTGAGTTGGATACTTGGTGTTTGCTAACTGTTTAGGGAATCTAGATGGTTCTTAGAGTGTTGCAAGCAAGGCATTTGATGGGGTTGTGATTTTGGACAGAATTAATAAAACACACAGTTACATTTCTTAAACAGTGGGAAGTTTTGTTCTATCTGACCTGCTAGGTTGAGTCTTTTTTAATGGCTAATTTTTGTTCCAATGATTTAGAAGTTTATGACGTTTTATGTTCAAGCGGTTTTATTATGGATGGCTTAAAGAGTCAGTTTTGGACTTTTGTAGCAATAAGTGAAATGCTAGTGTCACCAAACAGAAGAAAAGTATACTTGAAGTACAATATTAAGGGAAAGTCAAGAGAGCAAGTTAGTGGTGCTCCAATTAAGATTCTTTCAAACTTAGTCAAAGGTAATCCTTTATCACTAAAGATGCTTCACGAATGAATCCATACCCCAAAATTATTTTTAAATTTAAAATTATTAAAAAGTTTTGACAATGCACCCTTTTACTTTCCAAATCCTTAAAATAATACTATTGGTGAAGTTAAAAATACAGCAAGGTTTACACAATAAAAAAAAAAAAAACTAAAATTGTACTTAAGATGCTGCACTAAAAATAGCAATCACACTCCAAAAATGCTATGCTATTTTAACCTTTATATAATGAGTATATAATGGACAAACCCAAATGTTGGGTTTAATTGGGGCCTAATAATTTATTTTAAAAATAAATAACCCAGAAGGTGGTTTATACTTGACACAATATTTTACCCAGCTTTGAGTTTTTAATCAGTGAAGTTCAGTTCTCATCCTCAACTGTAAGGTGGACAAGGTCAGCATTTCTTATAAATTCAAAAATGTCAAAATCAAATGCTTACTGGCCTTCATACTGTTGATCATTACAAATTTAAAGAAAATTTATGACAAGTTGTATAATAAAACCATCATTGCAACATGCCATGTTTCATGTGATGTGTAATTGATAGAGACATTTGTTCCCTAACAAAGAATCAGGATATTTTCAGCTATTTCAGCTATCTGCTTTAAAGCTGTATTGTGTCTGATCCATGTTAGATAACTGAAAACACTTGCTATATAGATAGTTTTGGAGTTTGCTACTGTACCTGCATCCCTTGCGTCCCCAGCAAATAAATGAATAAATAAAATTCTGACACACCAGTGTCACAACATGAGTGTTCACATGCCGTTTTGTTGTGCAAAGCATGTTCACTTTAACGTACCATTGGGCCAGGTGGTCCCTGTGGACCAGGTGCTCCAGGGGGCCCGATAATCTACAAATGCAAACAAAATGAAAATTGAATTACTGACATGAACACAAAATCCATCTTTGCAGGCAAAAAAAAAAAATGTCAATAAAGCAGTAAGAACCAATACAACAAAAAGTTTAGCAACATTATTTATTACAGCTTTACTTTAAATAAAAATACAATTTATTGTTTTATGAAAAACTTTTATCAGTACTTCCTCTTATATCATACAAACTGTCACTCTGACAAAGACTAGTGCCAGTGGCCTACAGATGTCTCCGTGTGTAAGCTAGACAACAGACCAAATACAGTATGGCTATATTTACCGAGGGTCCTTGGGGACCAGAAATGCCGCCATCTCCTTTGTCTCCTTTAAGACCATTTACACCCTATGGGTACATTACCAAAAAATGACAATGTGGTTAGTCATAAGGTGTGTTTAGGATCAAATAATAATAAACATGACAAACACCAGAATTAACTAATGAAACACTGAGATATTTTACCTGTAAGCCAGGGAAACCCACTGATCCCTTTTCTCCTGGTATTCCAGGGATTCCCATGTCTCCTTTTGAACCTTTGTGACCCTTTGAACATGTTTGGATTATATTAACTGCAAATTATGATTAAATAAACAAATACAGTAAAAGTGTGCTTAGATATGGGTCAGACAACAGAAGGCAGACAATCAGAAAATTTTAGTCCTCTTACTCTTTCTCCATCCAGTCCAGGAAGTCCAGGTATACCCTGATCACCCTGTTAAAAGTAATGTACAATATTCTATAGACTGAAATAATCTGCAGTCAAGGTTTATTTACCCACATAAAATTGGACAATTGTATGCGGGTACACAGACCAGTCACACTGTGGTGTTTGTCTTCACACAAGATTATGAAAGTATATAATGACAATAACGGGCACACTATTAATTGATTAAAGGCATAGATCACCCAAAAATGAAAATTCTGTCATCATTTATTATGTTAAACACAAAAGGAAACATTGTAAAAAATATAGGAAACCTGAAACTATTGACTTACAAAGTAGTTATTACTAATATTATGGAAGTTGATGGTTTCAGATTTCCAACATTCTTCAAAATATCTTTCTTTTTGTTCAACGGGAGGAAAATCCCCCAAGCGTGAGTAAATGATGGTATAATTTTCATTTTTTTGTGAACAAAAGCCATTTCTCAAATGGCACACTATACACTATGCACTTGTGCACTTGAACTTATGCACTTACACACTCAACAGCAGAGTACATGAATGTAGTGTCATTCCAAATGTAACACTTTTTTTTTATAAGCAGAAATTGAAACCGTTTCCCTAATAAGGTTTGACGGTTGGCAAATTAGCAAATTAAATGACCAAAGTACCAAATAATACCTTGCATGAGTATGACCGCATTCACCATTGGGAGGTGCTATAATCACTCTCTTAAGAGAATACTGCTTTCACAATCCAAAATAAATAAAGTTATCCAACATCAGGGGTCCGTTCTTCGTACCTCGCTTAAATTATCTAAGATTATTTGGCAGATCCCGGATCTTTTAATCTTGATAACTGATCTCTCGCTAATTTGGTTCTTCAAACGAGTTCGCGAATCAGATTAGAATGTCTGGATAAACTGATCTGAGATCGCTGCGTGTGTTGTGAAGGACAGATCTATCGATCCTCGAAATCATGATCAGCAATGCAACGATTGGCTGACGGCACAGCAGCGTAATGACATCATCTGATTAATATTCAATTATCCATGTGAGCAAAATTACATCAAATTAGCAGTAAACGGCTTGTTAAATATGACACGCAATAACCTTCCACATTTGTTGTGAGCTGCAGGCTTTCCACGTTCATGTGTCAAGTGTATTCATCATGTATTTCAATGCAAATCAATGTATTTAGTTCTACATTTAGAAAATATTTTCTTTATTATAGTAGCCGTTTTTTAATTGGTGTAAAGAATAACTGGTTGTTTACAAAAGCATTTTCATATTGGTAAAGGTGTCTGCAACTTTTGTGAAGCATCAAATCACCGGCATATTAACTATCAAAACATGTTTATGACTGCATAAATGTATTATTGCTTTTAAAAAAGTCACATATTGTGCATTTCTATTATCCACAATTTGTACTAAAGCGATCTAAAAAGTTCATATCAATAAGTTTTCTCTTTGCACCACCAGGTGGCAGTCTTTGTACTTTCATTTCGAGGGTGCAGATTGCATACGTTTTATTAATATGTATAACTTTATTTATTTTATTAATGACTATAATTTTATATATAGAGTTTAAAAAATTACCATTTTCCCAAGTGTATATAACTACTACTGTAATAAAATATCAGAATTCGGAACATACTTTCTGTATTATCTTTGCTTGAACTAAGCCGATCTAATCCTGTTTATATGACTTGAACCTGCTCCCGATCAGGTTTGACCTAGCAGAACTGTTGCTATGACAACAACTCTCGGATTAGCTTTGAAGAACGAAACGATCCTGGATCGTGTCAAATCGTCAATATCCAAATCCAGCTAACTGAGTAATCCACGTACAAAGAACGGACCCCTGTGCTCAAAGGCTTTAAAGTGCACTTATTATTTTTATGGTTTTCAGTGTAAATGCACTACTTACATTATTTATACAACAAAATTGCATAAAATAGTGCATAAGTATGCAATTTGGGACTATCCTAATGTCTTTAAGGCCCAGATCACACAAAGAGACTTAATTTAACTCAAGCTAGGACTATAAGACATAGTTAAATTATGGTATTCTAGCCTCCTTTATAAAAATGTTTCAGAAAACATAGTTCCTGGCTGTGTTCTATTCCCAGTTATCCCCCCTATGCCCTATTCATTACGAACATTCTAACATTTAAAGTTGGAATAAAAAAAAGAAGAAGAATTAAAGCCATCTCTCTCCCTCTGTAATTTGCTTTCAAAGTATTTTACAGCTCAGTTTTAGAGATCTTCATGCTTACAATTGTGCTCCCTACGCAGTGCACTTTGAAATCATTTCAAATTGTAAAAGTAGACTTAAAAAAAATAAAAAATAAATAAACAAATAATAAGCATCATCATCATTATCAGCATCATCATTAAAATTATTAATAGTATTATTAAAGTAGGATTTTTTTCATTTCCTAATAAATAATAAATATTGAAATTTATTTTTTAATAATAGCCTCGCTATTTATTTATTTATTTTTTTTTAAATATATGATTTATATATGATATTAGAATACGTATTAGCTTTTGTAAGTGATTTTACATTTTAGAATAGAATATGTCATGTTCTCAATAATAATTGTAAAGGAAACACAGGCCCTATATATGTGCCATTTACATACATTTCAATTAATGTGGAAAAAGAGTTTTTAGCAAAACTAATATTGGATTTCATTTTAAATGCATGTGCGTGTCAAATAATATAATTTACACAAAGAAATTATGGGGTTCTTCACTGAAGAAGTTGTTACTCCACCCCATTTAGAGCATCATTATGGGTGTTTTACGTTTTAACTAACGTGGCTCAAATGATGGATCTGCAACAGAGAAACTATATGGTTTTGGGAAACACTCATTACTACATTGTTCTTTTCCCAAACGATGCATCGTACTATGATAGTTTAGCCATGAGTTACGAAGTTGTTTGGGAAACGGACCCCAGTTTAGTATAAGAATTCTGTATACTGTTTGTCCTTCGAATCAAAAATGACCTGCCATAACCTGACTAAACCTCTAAAATAAAGCATCTACATTTGATTTCACTTCTCAAAACTATTTTGCATGAGGAAACAATTTCATCTTTATCACAAGCTCTGTGAATGTCTAGGATTTCCATCAGTGTGCAGTATTTAATTAGTGTTTATTTAGGTGGCAAAGCTCATTTCAGATTAAATTAAAGGGTCACACTTTATTTTGATGGTCCATTTGCTGAATTTAAGTTACATTGCATCTACATGCCAACTAATTCTCATTTTATTATAAGTAGACTGTAAAGTTGGGGTTAATGTAAGTTGACATATAGTTTCAAAGTTTCTCATAGTTAGTCGAATGTTTGTTGAAAGAGCATATTAACAGATATTAGGCAACAGTATTAATACTCACATGGACCATCAAAATAATAATAATAATAATAATTCCTTACATTTATATAGCGCTTTTCTGGGCACTCAAAGCGCTTTACACAGTGGGGGGAATCTCCTCATCTGCCACCAGTGTGCAGCATCCACCTGGATGACGCGACGGCAGCCATTTTGCGCCAGACCGCACACCACACACCAGCTGATTGGTGGAGAGGAGACAGTGATGCAGCCAATTGAATATGGGGATGGTTAGGAGGCCATGATGGACAAAGGCCAGTGGGCAGATTTGGCCAGGATGCCGGGGTTAAACCCCTACTCTTTTCGAAGGACATCCTGGGATTTTTAACGACCACAGAGAGTCAGGACCTCGGTTTAACGTCTCATCCGAAAGACAGCGCTCACTGAGCAGTATAGCATCCCCGTCACTATACTGGGGCATTAGGACCCACACAGACCGCAGGTTGGGCGCCCCCTGCTGGCCTCACTAAAACCACTTCCGGCAGCAACCTAGCTTTCCCATGTGGTCTCCCATCCAGGTACTGACCGGGCGCAGCCCTGCTTAGCTTCAGTGGGCAACCATGTGAGAGTTGCAGAGAGCTAGCTGCCGGCAAAAATTTTATTTTCTAATTCTAAAGGTGCCTGCATAAGTGAAAAAAGATTTTAGCAAGACAGTATTAATGAAAGTTAAAGCAACAGATTCTTATTGGGTGTGAGTGTTTGGGAGGGGTGTCTGTTGGAGTGTGTGTTGGTTATGGTTTAACAGCTGGCGGGCCAAATCTGATCCAAAGGACAACCTTTGTATTGTAAATTTGTACAGCCTTCTTGAAAGCATGAAAATAGTAAATAAATAATGTCTTAGAAAAACTCACAAAAAAAAAGTTAAATTCTGCTTTTAAAATGGTGCAAAAAAAAACGTATTTTTAACCTTCAGTCAACAAGAGGGTTACAATGTTGTACAGCACGTTATTTTCATTTTTGATTAAAATAAAATTGTGATTTAAATCGTGAAAGTGATTACCTTCAGTCCCTTTGGTCCAACTGGTCCAGGAGGCCCAGGGGGGCCCTGAATCACATACAAAATAAAAGATGATTTAAAGTGAAGTGCTGCAAAATCCTTTTACAGATTCAAAGAAAGAAAGAAAGAAAGAAAGAAAGAAAGAAAGAAAGAAAGAAAGAAAGAAAGAAAGAAAGAAAGAAAGAAAGAAAGAAAGAAAGAAAGAAAGAAAGAAACAAGGAAAGAAAGAAATACTCAAGCATCCAAGGCCCACATATCTGAAACATTTTCTGCTACAAATGAAACATAATAAAAACACACATGGCTATACTGAATTGGTGCATTTACAGAATTTTGAACACTGATGGTGTAGTAATAACACAGGTTTACAAATGTATTTTTGGGTTACGTTAGAGATACATCTTTATCTTAAATAAATAAAACAGGTGTTAACAAACACTGGCACATCAACAAACAGTGTTTTGGCAACTAGTTAAGACAGTTAGCAGAATCAGGACAAAAGCATGTATATGAAAGTGTTGAATTCATGCTGAGTCAAATATAGCACTCGTGTATAACAGACAAAACAGAGGTGAATTACCGTAACTGTAATAGCAGTTATCTTCTGTTTGCATTCAGAAATAAGAGAAGGTAAAAAAATAAGATTACAGTTATTAACCAGACCCCATGCTTTTTGTCTGTGCCCATTACTTTTAATAAAACCACATGTTTTTAGAACGTATTACTAATAGCTTCATAATTTAAATTTGGTATTGATTTTTCAAATTTGGGCACAAGAAATGGTGAAGCACTGTCACATTATGTTAACCAATAGATATTATTTTCTTAAATTGAAAAATTCAATAGTAAAATCTTAAGTAAACCCATGGCAAAGTATTCTTTGGTGTCATTCATGCACCAGTCTATTTGCAGATTAAAAATAGGATTTCTAGTAGTGACATGATTTCACTAACCCGAAGAGCCTCTTGAATGTTCCCATTGTAGTCTATGATTTCAGTTGTACCCTGGTCACCTTTCTCCCCAGGTAGCCCCTGAATAAAAATAGACTTTTTTAATGAAATAAACATATGTAACTACTAGCACGGTTTTCACTAAAATAAAGAGGTACAATAATTAAAATGATGTTCTTATTGTGTAGCTTCTTTATGTCATTATTATTGAAACTTAGACACAGAAATTGAATAGAACAGCAAAAGAAAAAAAAAAACTTGCAAAATGTATTCCATCACAAAATGTGAACTTACTGCTTTACTGTACTATTATTGCATACAGACTGTCTATAGCAGTCACTAATTTACTAACTTGTACTTGTACTTGTTTACCAAGCTCTTTCATTGCATTATGCCCTGTGTTTGTGGATAATCAATAAATCCTGTTCTTTCTGGTCTTTCTGGTTTTTTAGTCAAATGTAACCATGTGCAAGTTAAGTCAGTGTCAGCAAAAAAAAAGTGCAAATTTGGGAGTATAAACATGTCAGTTTACTCTTTACTTAACAATACAGATAGATGAAGTTTGATACCCAATATAAAATAAATTTGGTCACAACACAGCTAATTTTCAGGCCAGTGTTAAATTTGCCTGTCAAAAAAAAAATACATCATTTTACACTTTACTCACTTGTGATCCTGTTGGGCCCACATCCCCTTTGTCTCCTGAATCCCCCTGTGATTTTAAAATGGACAGAGCATGTTAACGAATTTGGGACAGGAACATATTTTTGTTTGTTATATTATCACATGTCAAATGTCCCTTGTTTTTGCTTCAAAACTATAAAAACATTTCTATTGTTTTTAATTTCCTAATGCATGGTTCACTAAGAAGCAGATACTGACCTTTGAACCTTTCAGGCCTGGTGCTCCTGATTCCCCTTGCTCTCCCTTAAAATTTTTTGGAGACAGTTAAAGATTATTATGTAGTAGCTTTTTCAGAAACAACCCAATAAGATATCTGTGGTTTACTGTATGGTTAGATTAATCATGGTCTATGACACTGGAAGAGTAGTAAGACTAGTATTTAGAACTGATGAAAACAAAAAAAGACAAAAATAGTGACAAAAATAAGACAAAAATAGTGTGCTATGAGTCAAAGACTCATAGCACACTATTCTATTCTTCAACTGTTTAACAATAAAAGGTAAGTGATCAGAATAGATTTGGGTGAATCACCCAAAAAGACTGCTTATTTGAGTAGCAATGCTGAACATATGACTGTAGTAATATATTATTATATTATATCTGTATATATTATGTTGTTTACTGTATTATATTATATTATTATTATATATACACATACATACAGACATACATACATACATACATACATACATACATACATACATACATACATACATACTGTACATACATACATACATACATACATACATACATACATACATACATACATACATACATACATACATACATACATACAGTTGAAGTCAGAATTATTAGCCCCCTTTGAATTTTTTCATCTTTTTTAAATATTTCCCAAATTATGTTTAACAGAGCAAGGACATTTTCACAGTATGCTGATAATAATTTTTTCTTCTGGAGAAAATCTTATTTGTTTTATTTTGGCTAGAATAAAAGCATGTTTTAAATTTTTTAAAACCATTTTAAGGACAAACTTATTAGCCTCTTTAAGCAATTTTTTTTTCAATAGTCTACAGAACAAACCATTGTTATACAATAACTTGCCTAATTACCCTAACCTGCCTAGTTAACCTATTTGAGCTAGTTGAGCCTTTAAATGTTACTTTAAGCTGTATAGAAGTGTCTTGAAAAATATCTAGTCAAATATTATTTACTGTCATCATGGCAAAGATAAAATAAATCAGTTATTAGAAAAGAGTTATTAAGACTATTATGTTAAGAAATGTGTTGAAAAATCTCTCCATTAAACAGAAATTAGGAAAAAATAAACAAGGGGGCTAAAAACTTAGGGGGCTAATAATTCTATATAATATATATAACTTGTTGGATTTTAGTGTCATTACTGATTTTAATTGCAAATTTGTTAAAAAAGAAAATCTGAAACATCACACAACCTCTTAGTATCCAGATCCTTTGCTGTGACACCCATATAATTACCTCAGGTGCTGTCCATTTCTCCTGATCATCCTTGAGATGGTTCTACACCTTCATTTAAGTCCAGCTGTGATTATACTGATTGGACTTGAGTAGGAAAGTAACACACAAGTCTATATAAGACCTTACAGTTCACAATGCATGTCACAGCAAATGAAAATCACGAGGTCAAAGAAACTGCATGAAGAGCTCAGAGACAGAATTGTGGTATGACACAGATCTGGGCAACAATACAAAAAATTCTGCTGCACTTAAGGACCCTAAGAGCATAGTGGCCTCAATAAACCCTAAATGTTTGGGATGACCAGTACCCTTCCTAAAACTGGCCGTCCGGCCAAGCTGAGCTATCTGGGGAAAAGAGCCTTAGTGAGAGAGGTAAAGAAGAACCCAAAGAGCACTGTGGCTGAGCTCCAGAGATGCAGTTGGGAGATGGGAGAAAATTGTAAAAAGTCAACCATCCCTCCACCAGTCAGAGCTTTATGGCAGAGTGGCCCGATGGAAGCCTCTCCTCAGTGCAAGACACATAAAACACCTGAAGGACTCTAAGATGGTGAGAAATAAGGTTATTTGGTGTAATGAAACCAAGCTAGAACTTTTTGGTCTTAAATCTAAGTGATATAGAAAACCAGGTCTTGCTCACCTGTCTAATAAGTCCCAACAGTGAAGCTGTAGGGGTGTTTTTTCAGTTGCAGGGACAGTTGCAGAGCCTTGATTTAAACCCAATTAAGTATCTCTAAAGAGACCTAAAATGGCTATCCACCAACGTTTACCATCCAACCTCACACAGCTGGAAAAGATCTGCAAAGATGAATGGCAGAGGATGCCCAAATCCAGGGTGCTTCTACTAAATTCTGAAAAAATGGCCTGAATACCAAGGACCATGTGATATTTCAGTTTTCTTTTTTACTAAATCTACAAAACTGTCAACAATTCTGTGTTTTTTTTCAAACACAAAATTGTGTTTAAAACCAAATAGGCTGACTCAAAAAGAACAATGACTGAAATGGGACGAAAATTAACAAGATTGGACTGTTGATAATTGGAAGAAAGTAGTCAAGTGTGATGAATCAAGTTTCTAGGTAGAAATGGTAATTGATAAACAGTTGGGTGACAGAAGCCCACAGCAGTGGTTTAATGCTATGAGCAATGTTTTCTTGGGACAAATTAAGCCCACTTTCCCAACAGTACAAATCTGAAGACTTTCCTGAATCTGCATTTTGTTATGGACCAAGTGCACCCATTCATAGCAGCAACAAGGCAATGCAAGCCTGCCAGAAAATTCAAGAATGACTTGGCCTCCAAATTCACATGACCTGAACCCAACATTCCCACATTTGTGGTTTAACTTGGAACAGCAAATTCATGCTTTATCACCACTATTCTGCAATTATAGGAACCAGATGTTCTGATGATGTTCTGCAGATTTTACAGAGGGCCTATTGCCACCTCATAAACCACGCCTTATTTGCTGTTTAGCAGGCCAATGTAGATTTTACTGGTTATTACAGTCAGTATTACAAAACATGTATATACAAAAAAAAAAAAAAAAAAAAAAAAAAAAAAAAAATATATATATATATATATATATATATATATATATATATATATATATATATATATATATATATATATATATATATATATATATTGCATCTTACTTGCATCTTAATGGTTTGACTAATAAAAAATGTTTAGTTTCTTTAAATGATATGTACAAATTAAATTTCTCAAGCAGTTTGAGGAAATTAAAAAAAAAGGCAACATAATGGCCACAGAACTACAATATGTTGTACCAGAGTTTTCCTCCAGAGGGAGACACAGTAAAGACAAGACCATAAAGATCATAAATGTCAAATGTTTTGTCAGTGCGGATAGCCTAGGCTAGTGGTTAAGCACACTATGGCACAGCTGCATTCATGATGATGATTTCCATCTTAAGGTCCTTTTTTAAACCCCTTACCCTCTCTCTCTACCCCATCATTCTTGTCATCTCTCCACAATCCCATCAACAAAAACATATGTGCTTAAATCTAGAATGTGCATATACTCAGAATTATAACATTAGTGTTCCTGCACATTTGTGCATGGACCCTTATTAAAAATGTTACAGTCCTGCAGTTCATTTTTCATCTTATTTAAAGAGATAATGTGCACTTTGAATTCATTGAAGTGTAGATTATGTAAAATACTTTAAAATAATGATCCATGGATAACTTTAACAATACATGTAGTATTTATTGATACAATATTTAGTCATGTTTGGTAATGCTAGTTAATAAAAATAAATTATAAAGTAAAAATCTACTAAAAATAAAGTAAACATTTACTAATGTTAAATTTGGTGAACTAAAAATTTCATATCTCTAAACAAAGCGAAAATACAATCACAGTCTGGGAAATCTATGTGTTCATATTTTACCTTTTATGAATTTTAATGAAATTATTCATTTCACTTTTAGGGGATAAATGTATCCTGAGCTTCTGTTCTCTGAACCCCATATCCTCTGTGTGGTTGCTGGAAATTATCACATATAATACATATTTCCTATGAAAGACTTATATGGAGTTCTAGTAATAATTTACAATGACTTTAAAACCAACAAAAGATACAGCATATAACTAAAGAACAAATTGAGCATTGTCTGATGATTCTCCTCATGAATGAATTTTCCTGACCAGTGCAAAAATGCCTTTTTTTTACTTTACCTTCTGTCCTAAAGGACCTGTTTCACCACGTTCACCTTTTCCAGGTGGTCCTGGTTCTCCTCTCTCTCCCTAAAAGAAGAGAAAAAAAAATATTTTTTAATTTTTTTGGGTGATAAAAAACTGATTTATTTGTTATTATGTTTCTGACTGTTTGCTCATTCAGACATTCTTTATGACAACCTCCAGTCATAAAATGATGTTCAAGCTGATTTTAAAATTGACCAGCTGAACAAGACACACTTTGGTATTGAAACAATATTGGATTTAGATCAGTGATTCTCATCTAATGTGGCCTCTAGGTGGCACCTACTGGCCATGATCAAACTGCATGTGAACCATCGAATTGGCACTCCTAAAAAAGCTAAGATAATTCACTTATTTATAAATTACTATAACTATTACTACCACTACTACTAATAATATTAATAATAACTACTGCTATTAATAATAATAATAATAATAATAATAATAATAATAATAATAATTATTATTATTATTATTATTATCCAATTCACTCTATGTGTACATAGGGAGAAACATTAAAACTCCACAAAGAAATGCCAACTGCTCCAGCAGGGACTAGAACCAGCAACCTTCTAGCTGTGAGGCAACAGTGCTAACCACTGAGCCACATGTTAATAATAATAATAAAAAAATAAATCTGGTAATATTAGCTTAAACTCTTGTTTTAATTAGAGACTAGAGTAGTGCTCCCACACTGAACAATCTTTGGTTATTTGTTGTTTCTTATACATATTATTAACATGGTAACTCTATTACCTCTAACTCTATTGCAAATACCCGAGAAACAAACCAAAAACCAAGAAAATAACATTAAACTGGGATGTACAGCCAGTGGTGGTATTACAAACTCACCTTAGTTCCTGGAAGACCTGGAAGCCCTGGCTCGCCTTGAGGCCCAAAGAAACCAGGTTCACCCTGTATACAAACAGATGGAACTGTCCGTTAATCACTATGTCGCAAATCAAAAATTTCCCATATCAAATTATTTGTAAATGATAAATTTAGAGGAGCACTTTCCAAAGCATCCATTAACTGCAGTACCAAAACACCCTTTTCTTCAAGAACTGATCTAGCTGAACGTTGTTAATAACACCTTGTTAATAAAAGTAGTTAAAAAAAAAAATTCTAACAATTTTAGAGCCTCTGTCAATGCTATAAATAGTTTGACTCTCAGTGTCTTTATAAAAAACATAAGAACATTACATTAGTATGAGGTTAGCATCCAGAGCCTTTAGGTTCTAAGTACAATGGGGGTTTACAATGCCAGCAGTTTACAAGCACCCAAAAGAATACAGGAAAACAAACCAAAAACAGCATTAAACATCAGTTTATGCATATTTATTTGAATTGAAAGTATAGAACTATGGACAAGCACATTGTTCCAGTGATTTTTCCACTTACTCTCTCATATTTTTGAAAAAAAATATTTTGACAGTTTGAAACATGAAAGACTATAAAAACCTTTACATTTTTAGAAGGGGAAAGTAAAATTCCATTACAAAACACCAAGAGGTTGAATAACTTTATGGTTTAACATACTCGGGATTAATGCACTGATGGCAGAGGAATCTGTTTGAGGACAAAATTTGAAGAATATGACACCATCAATCTTTGTTAATAGAGAAATTAAATGATGATCCACTTCTGTAATCAGTGAATTATGATAAAGTGCATGAATAAGCCAATTTAAAGCACATGCCATTCAAAAACACACTTCAATAACTGTTATAGAGTCGAAAAGAATAACAGGCTTATGAGCTGCTGAAAATTGAGAATGGGTGAGGATAATGTTTTTTAGGAACACGCATGAGAATTACCTTAATCCCGGGCAGTCCAGGCAGGCCTGGAAGTCCTGGCTCACCCTATGTAGAAAAAAGAAGTGCAACAAATTACAACCAAACCAGGCCACTACTACTGGCGTTGAGCCTGGAAAACCAGCTCAACCACAATAGGTTTCCTCTAAACCCGCATTATCAAAAGATTGGCCCCAGTTTTCCTACTAAAGTGAAAATCATCAAGATCCTGAAGTAAAAGCAAATACACATTTGACAGCTAATGTTGTTTAAGCTGAATGGTTTCCATCAGACTTTCCAAATTAACAGTTCAGCACATTCATGTTGAGACCTACTAAAATGTCATCAATTATACAGTATCTGTAGCTTTTGGTTACAGCTAACACTAAAAAAGTATATAGATCCCAGAGACACACTCTCACACTGGATTCAGAGTAGATAAGTCATTTAGTGAAGCCTAATGGTGTTTTTATGGGTTAGCCAACAGATAATTGTTTGACATAAAAACACAAAGGAAAAAAGAGACAAAAAAAGACAAAGTTTACATTTTGTAATGTCATTGTGAAAAATGATCATTTTCATCAAGGAAAAATTCAGTGTGCTCACTATTTGTCTTTATTTTGCTAAAAAAAAATGCTTTCTTTTATTTTCTAAATGCACTATAGTATGCTATAATGCTTTTTAGTTAATGATTACTATATTTGTTCAAATAACTATTGTAAGTGTGTACTCCAGCCAGCTGTGCAGTATAAGTACTGGGGTTTTACCTTTTGTCCTCCACGACCTGGCTCGCCTGGCTCACCCTGTAATAATAAGAATGCAGCATTCATGTTCATACACCTAATAAAAAATAATTACTAAAAGCACAAAAATAATTTTGGGTCTTACTTTGATTCCAGCGGCAGAGGATCCTGCAATTCCCTGTGCAAAATTGTAGTATATTATAGCATATTTTTTCTGTTAGCATCAAAAAATTATAAAAACTAAATACTATAAAGCTTATGCACAAATCAGCTGTACTATTTGCCAAATATCTCTATCAGACTGTATAAGCACAAAGCAAGTAAATTGGGAATAATACAAATGGTAATTTAGGGGAAAAAAAGCAGAAAGATTGCTGTTGGATTGGTATTCTATTGCAACAAATGTACTGTGTGTTAATTTAAGGCATTAATTTATGTAAGAATTCATTAAGCTGCATTCCTCCTCCTGACCAGAAGGAGGTGCTCCTGTTTCCTTACACAACAGGATCCAATTTCTATGCTTCCTCCGGAACAGTGGATGGCACCACTTTTTTTTTTCATGCTTGATTTGCAACACTTGTGTTTTGCCCTATATAAGTGTGTGTGTTACAAACTATTGTGTTCTGTCTTGAGCCATTACTGCCGGTGTTCTCCAGATTGTCTAGAGAAGCTAAGTGACACTTTACTGTTGTGCTTTTTGACCCTTGTGTCTAATTTGTTTAGCTTGTTTACTAGAAGCTCAACTTTAGTTATTTCTGTTGAACTTTACATTCTATTTTTCTAGTAAAGATCATTTGTTTATTTTTTCTGAAACCAAAGCCTCAAGTTCTGTCATTCTTCTGCTCTTGGGTTCATCTAGTGAGGAGTTAGCTCAACTAGGAAAGCCCCAGCTTTGTCTTAGGGTGCTTTCACACCTACACTTTTGTTTCGGAACGTATCTCGTTTGCCCAGTTAGCGCGGTTCGTTTGGCATATGTGAACAGGGCAATCGCGCTCTGTTTCGCGCCAAAGTAATCGCTCCGAGATCGCTTGAATGAGGTGGTCTCGGCTCGATTGAAACAAACCCTGGAGCTGTTCGATTGCAGTGAGAAAGCGATCCGATCCGAGCACGGTTATATCACAGTGTTTTATGGATATGTAATAGGCTTACGGCTATATGAAGAAAGAATTACGAGTAGGGTGGGAAGTTTCGCGAGTCTCCGGATGCCCGCAAATCTCGCGTCTCCCTCCCGGTCCTCAAATAGGCATCGTTGTGCACCCTTCTCACCCCTCCCCACCGCATCTCTCCTCAGACACGTCGCGCGCACCCTGTCAATCACCACCAATCCACCACCTCTCCTGACAGCTTAGCCGGACAATGCAAAATAAACCCTGACACTCTGACCAATGTGAAGAGAGTTTACTTGCACGTGACTTGTTTTTTGCTCTTTTGGTCCGATTAGAAACTTTGCAGTGTGAAAGCGAACTGCTCCAAGGGCAAAGAGCAACAATGTAACATTTGTAATCAGAACAACTGAATCAATTCACAGGTGTGGAAGCACCCTAAGAGACCTGGGTTCAGTCCTCACCTAAACCAACACATTACAAATCTAGAAATTCTTTTGTGTCAAAAAGCAGTTACTAAAAGTCAGACAAAGGTTATGATTTAGCAGGCTTATTTGGTTGAATTTGATGTTTTATGTAGTCAGGTTTTTAATGTTTGATATGTTAATTTATGTTGTACAAATTCAATATAGAATAAAACTACATGTAATTAGTAACAAGCAGCGATGAAAGGGACCTCACATCCAGGCTCACCGCTGCCCGGTGGCCTTAGGATAATAGAGAACAGTGAACAATAAAAATTTAAGCTGAGATATATAAATAAAAAATAAAATCTAAGCAAATAACTGATTCATGCCAAACTTCTTTCTGTCAGCAGGTGTTGCTATGGGCCCTATCATACACCCGGCGCAATGTGGCGCAAGGCGCGGCGCAATAGTCTTTTGGTAGTTTCAGCTTGGTGCAAAAGTCGTTTTGAGGTGTTGCGCTACGCTGTTTAAATAGCAAATGCATTAGCGCTCATTTGTGCGGCCATAGGCATTCTGGTCTAAAAAGGAAGGCGTTTTGAGGCGGACCGCTGGCGCGTTGATATTTTTTAGAAACTATAATAGATTTTTCATTAGACCAAAACTAACCCGGTCTAAACTCCGGCGCAGAGTTGCGCCTCGCTTACGCACTGCTTAATACGCACAAGAGAGCAATAGGCAAATATCTTTACATATGAAAAAGTTTCAATATAAAGGATATATATAGGATATAATAAGAATAGATATAGGATATAAATATAAAGGATTAAAATATTACAAAACATATTATTTTCTAGCCTTGTCGAGCGCGTTCTGATCCACTGTGTTGTCGCGCGCGTACTCAAAGAGTGGTGTTGTCGCGCGCCTACTGAAGCGCGGGACCGGGGGTGTGCGAGTCACGGGGGCACTTTTGATCATTTTGGAAGGGCACTTTCTATCCAAGACTAAAAAGGGCATGTGCACTGCACAGGTTGAGCCCTATGTGTGCACGTGCCTGCCTTTCTTACACACACACTCCAACTCCCCACACCCACAAGGACACTAGTCCAAAGAGAAATCGACTGAGAAACCAGGGACCAGCACAGAGCTAAAATGTTATGTTTGCAAACTTTGTATCTCATTTCTGGCTTTTCTTACCTGTATAACCCCTCATATAACCTGAAGGTGTGGTCCCTTTAGGTCTTTTTAAAGCATAAATAATGTGAGGATGTGAAAAATTATGTTGATGTACTTTTAAACCCCCCATGTTTGGTGCCGATGGGTTTCTGCTGACATTTTACAACACATGATGCATAGAGCAAGATCATAACTCACATTGCTTTATTCTTTAATTCCCTGCATTAAATGCCTCTCTGCATGCTCTGGGCGGACACTCAAAGTGAAGTTTAGTTTTAAACTAATTTCGAGAGGAGCATGTGCTCATGATTTACCCAGCTGGTCCACATTAACTAATTATGATCCTCCAATCGAAGGATCCCAAATCACTATATATATCCTCATTTCCTTTCTACAACTATCTTCGTCTGGAAGAAAGCTTCCTACTTCTAAAAAGCTTTAGCTCTAAAAGCTTTTACAGCATTGCACCTTTTAGCCCATCAATATGGAGATAACCAACAATATCTACAACTGCAACTAGAGCCCTGCTCTCCCTGAGACTTCAGCCACTGCAATGAAGCCAAACTCTCACCGCTCTTAGCGGTCCACCTGTGGTAACGTAGTATGCTTTAAGGGGAAACTTCTCTCTTTAAGGAGAAACTACTCTCCAACAAGATTAAACATTTCTTATGTCTTTAGAAAAGCAAGACTTTCATAAATAAAAAATAATTTAAACCATTTTAAAGACACAAACACTGGACATAACGTACTCCTATAATCTGTAAACAAGCAGAGATCATAACAAACCAAATAAACCCACCTTTCAAGCTTGCTGTCTGTTCACAGGTCCAGAACATTTTAACAGCCTGGCTGATTTCACTGCAAGGATCAAAGCAATCCAATCCAAAAAACTTTAGTCCACAACATGTTTACATGTTGATAAACATACATGGATACACTGCTGTCATCCAAACTTGTTGCTGGAGTGCTTTCAGTACAGTAGTATCTTTCAGACAAAAACACTTGTATTATAGTCTAACAAAATGGCTGCCGACCTTTTGATTGACACTTCATTGAGCCAATAGCTGAAAAGAGAAGTGTCACCATACAAGAGCTGTCAGAACATGAGATGGTCCCGCCCTCTCTTACGATAGTTATGAACAGACTTGGTTGCAAAGACTTTGTGAATGAATTGGGCCAATTATGCTTCTGAATTCATTCATGTTAAGATTCCAAATGTAATGTTATTTAATCAATCAGATTAAAGTAAAGCCCATAGTAAACATTTAATTGACACAGTTTAATAAGTATGTTCAAGTGCAAATTAAATGACAACATCATTTTAGAAATTAAATAAATAAATAAATTAAACAAATAACTAACATAAATAAATAAACATACATATAAGTAAACAAACCCTGCCACTTCCAATAGCTATTTAACTTCTAAAATAAAATTACCCACCTAATGACAATAAGCATCACATCGATCATAGAAGTCCGATCGTATTATGTCACAGGAATTTAAACTTATCACTTCACCTACTCCACTTTAAAGAGGTATTTTTAAGATCACCAGCCAAGCCATGCTCAATATCCTTGGCCCTCCACTATCCTGGGGGGAATGAACGTCTACCAAAACACTATCTGTCTGTCGATTCCTCACCTCGCTAGAGAACTGCGTTCTCTCCACTAATTTTTTCTGATTTTCTCATTTCAGGTCTAACCTATGGATTCCACCCGGGCACCTCAGCTCTCCCTTCCTATCCTAATATTCAGTCAGCTTTTGCTGATTGAACCAGAAATTGTGGATCATCTTATTTAAAAAGAGATCAACAACCACTTTGTTTGACCATTCTCTGCCCCACCACTCAAGGTTTCACGCATTTGTCCCATAAGCAGTGCAACTCGCAAATTCTCCATCACTGGCTTCTTTCTAACAATCGCACAATCCCCCATCTTATCCAACTTTAGATGATATTCTAATCACCCCCCCACATTGCCTCCAGCCAAACACCTAGAGATCACCAAAAGGTTTTCGCCAATCTAGGTATTCTGCTCGCAGAAGGCTGGACCCAATACATTTATCAAATTTCTAGGCATCAACTTCGATTTGCTCAAATTCCGAGCTTCTCTTCCTAAAGAGAAAATTGGCTGAATAATTTCTCTTTCTCTTGTATTATAAGAAAGAGACTTGAGTTAAACACATACTGTTATCTATCCTCGGCCACCTAAAATTCACAGTGCAAATTTACCTCAAACTTGCCTACTCCAGCTCCCTACCACAAGTCACGATTTAAAAGGAACAATTTCTCTCTCAAAACCCACCCACAATGAACTCCGCTTATGGATTGCTTCCTTAAGCTATGGAATGGCTGTTCCTTCTGCAGAGATTGTTCGCACCCCCATTAGATATTTGTCTATTTACTGGTGCTACCCCATCAGTTGGGTTCCAAGGGTACTCAGAGGCCACTGGTTGCCACCACATGGCCCCCTCAATCTATTTCCACTCTAGAA